GACCAAACGTATTTGTACATGACTGTGCTCGCCGTTTTCCATCAAGCGGTCAGGGTTGCACATGCACAGCGCGAAGAGAAACCCCGAACGAAAGGAACAATCACCAGAAAAAGGCATTAGAAACGGAAAATGCTTTTTGCTTTTCTAATTCTCGAAACTCGTTCAGGGGACGACGCCTGTCATCCGATGCCATGTGCACACAGCTAGCTAGATTCGTCTACTCAAACGCAGCCATTAAGCAATGGCCTTGTGAGCCGGTATCCATCAACCATCCAGCAGCCTTAAATCGAGTTTGCTCATGATATTTCCTCCACCGCATACGCCTGGCCGTGATCCCGACTGGGTGATCATTCCCTTCCCTTCTTCCCACGGTCTTCGCTGACGCTTCTGTCCGGCACCGTTTTTGAACAATCCGCACTCATTCAATATTGCTCCTATCGGAGTCTCTGCCATCCGCCGTAGGCCATGGACAATGCATAGTGGTCCGGTAACCCCATTTCACCGCTTGGTAGCATCTCCTATTGCAAGTACTGCTGCAGTGCTTGCTGCTGCTCCGGTGTGAGACGTGTGTTGACAAAGTTGACAATGGCTCCGTTGTGACGCTGGTTAGCGGAGCTGATGTAAGCGCTGACCCAGGGAGCCACCGCGGTGACCTCTGGGTAATCGTCACGCGCGATCGGCCGACACGTGTTGAGAGCCGTGTAGGACAGGCCAAAGCCAATGTCATCAACGTCGGCCTCGGCAATGAGTTCGTCGCCCAGGCCGGCAGACACCACGGGTGGGTTGACCAACAAGGCAAGAAGGATCTTACATGTGTTGGCCCATCCCTTAGCGAACTTTTGCGCGAAAGCCTGCGACTCGCAGAGAGTCTTGGTAAGACTTACTACTGCGAGCTTACGGTCAACAGGTCGTGCGAGCTTTTCCGTCTCGGCCAAGACGAAGGGAGGGTAGACCTTGGCAAAGATACCCTCCTGGATCTTCTCGGAATGCTTCATGAAGTAATCCGCACCGAAACCAGCCTCAACTCGGGACGCCACGAGGTGGAAGAATCGAGCGAAGCGCAGCTTGAGCGAATCCGGCGGGTTGCCCTGCAGCTTGGCGAAAAGAAGGTTCAGGATGGTACCAAAGTACTGGTCAACAACCGCACTGGGTCTCGTTAGAACAGAACCTTCAGAAGAGTCATAGGCAAGGAATGGACATACGGCTCGAATGACTTCACGACTGCCTCCAAGATGTCAAAGGCGTACAACTGGTACTTCTTGACAGCGAGGAGACGCTGGAAAATGCCGAGGATTTGCTCCAGCTTGTTCTCAGAAACAATAAAGGCAGAGGTTGCCGGGATGATGGAAGAGAGAAGTCTGGTACAGGCCGGGACATTGCCCTTGGTATCCCACAACGCCGGCTCGAGCAACGGGGATAAAAAGGCCTTGTAGTTGTCTGATACAGCATCGGGAGGGCTTGACTCCAAAAGTTGCGCCAGAATCTGGAAAATATACTGCAGGAACTCTACATCAACGTTAGCCAAGAATTCAAGTCCACTGCCTGTCACTTGTTGACGTACCGGTAACGTCTTCAACCAGAATCTGGTTGAAAGGCTCCCAAAGCTTCTGGTTGAAAAGAGCAGCGTGGGTCGACGAGGTATATCTAACGAGGGCGCCAAGGGCCTCAAAGTGATAGTAGTAGAAGCGCGGGTTGCTAGGGTTCTGCTTAATCATGTTGGTGATGGCAACCAAGTGTGTCAGAACAACCTCGACGAGCGGTGCGGCCCCATCCTTCAAGACGATAAGAATTCTCATGACACATCTCATCAAGAATTCGTTCTCCTGCAGCTTGGCAGGGGTCCTCTCCTTTTCAATCAGCTTGAACAGATGCTCAAGCAAGTCCTTGGCGAAGGGCTGGATGTCCTCGCGGGGGAACATGACCTTGCCAGAGTCGTCCGAGAGGAACAGCAGACGCTCGACAGCAATCGCAGCATATGAGTATACCACGTAGTTGTCCGATGCCAGATTCTGAATGAGAGGGGGGAACGCCAGCTTCCATTGCTCCTTTGTCAGTTGGCTACGGAATGTGTGCAGGTACTTGATGGCGTCGACCTTGGAGATGGGCTCAACTCCTCCGCTGGCCATCAAATCCGAAGCAATGTGCTGCTCGAAAAAGTCAACAACGTTGACCAATGAATTGACCGTCTTGACACCCTGAGCGGCGGTGACAGAGCCCTTGGCTGCGATGGAGATGAAGAGGTACACCGCCGTGTCCTTGGCCTTCCAGTCGGATTTGCCCTGTTCCAAGTAGTGGTTGATGTACTTGTAGACGACACCGGTGACGAGTTGCTCGTACTTTTCCTGGAGTCTTCTCAAGAAATCGGTCGCAGACCGGCGTCTCGAATCGGTGTCTGAACCTTCCAGATCCCGGCGGATGTACTCGATAGGCTCATCCTCAAAAAGCTCCAGGTCAGACTCGCGCAGGGCAACGTTGGGCAGGATAACTTTCTCAACTACCTGGCCCAGAACGTTCTCGTCCGCGAATACACCCGAGTGTTGCGAAGTGCCGGCGACAGCGGTCAAGAAGTGCAAAGCCTTGCTGACCAAGAGGTCATATTTGGTCTCAGCGCCTGTGCTGGAGAGAAGATTCCAGGCATTGGTAATGAAGGGCTCCGTGTATTTTCCAAAGTCCTCGTCGTACTTGAGCGTGTAGAGCTCCAAAGCTTCGCAGATATCGGCCTTGACGGTGTCGATGACACTAACTTCGGTATCGTCGTCGGTCTCTAGGATCGGGTTCGTGTACGTGAGGTACTTGTGTAGTAGTTCTGAGATGGAAGCCAGGTGTTCCTCGAAAATCGGGGGCATATCGTGGGACGAGAGGTCGTAAAAGATTTTGATCATGAGGCTCAGGGCCTCGAACCAGCTCTTGAGAGCATCCTTGTTCTGGGCGTTGTTGGTAATCTGTTCATCGGTCTGCACCAGCAGTTGCACAAAAGGCTGCGCAAATGTGCTGATGACGTGGTTGATCTCAGTGTAAAGCTCGTCGGTTCTGAAGAGAGGGCGCCAGCGGACGAAAATGGAGTGGGCGACTTCGAGGACACCGATGTTGATCTTGGGATCGACGGGGGAAAACCTCTCGACGAGCTCCTGAGTCAGTGTTTGCCAGCGCTCCCAGAAATCTGAATCGGCGATGATGCTGATAGCGTCGCCAAGCTGAGTCTGAATGGTTGGTGGACAAGAAATCATCAGCCCAATAAGCTGAGACTTGATGGTGTTCACCTCATCGGCGGGGAGCTTGTAGTTGCCGTCGGCATCGACCCAGTTGGAGCGGATGAAGTTCTTGAAGGCCAAGGCGGCGGCCAGACGGGTCTTGAGAGGAAGAGATTCAGAGGCGACAATGTTGAGGAGGTTGAGCGAGTATTGCGGCTTGGCTTGCTCTGCCTTGAGGGCTTGCTCAGCTATTTTTCACGTTTGTTTATCAGCATCCAAACAACGTTGGCGGGGTACGAGGTAACGGTAACGGCAACGGGGGCTGTCTTGGGTACCTTTTCTGTGAGTGCTGGGGTCTAAAGTAGCATCCAGCAGCTGGGCAATGGTGCCCATTTGGGAGGCCATCTTGACAGAGTTCGCAGCGTCGTGGAGATGTGTGGTTGAGGAGTGGCGGTAGGAGTTGTTGTAGGTAATGGACTCTTTTTCCTGCGCTGAACTTTTTGGGATGGGGGAGTGTTGCTGTGGGGGACGAGGCTGCCTTGTACCTTAGCTGACCTGATGGAAAAGAGATGGAAGGTATTGTGGGGCGCTTTCCATTATTGGTTGTTGACAATGACAGAGACACTGACAAGCGCCCGCCACAGACGAGCAGTGAGCTTTGTCGGAAAAACTGCAGGGAGAGTTAGTAGGTGGTTGGTCTGTGCGCTGTAGAAGATGGAGCCTTAGGTAAGGAAGGCACCTGGAATGAAGCAGCCGCCGGGCTTGACGCAGAACGGAATGGAGACAAAGCTGCTGCTGAAGAAAGTGTTTTACCTCCCCTCCCTAAGGCACCTTCAGGCATAGAGTTTGTCTGAATCAGACCACCCTTGGAAGCGTGCCGCGTCTGGAAAAGAAACTACTTCTGCCGCATGCCTAGTCTTTGCGTTACTACGTCGTCCAAGGTACCTGTTCGCTCATTGAATCAAAGGCCTTTGAGACTTATGTGTGGGGCTGGCGCGACTCCAAGATGTTCGCATAGTGAATCGAACTTTAGGATATCGGCTTGAGAGTAGGCTGCTCCGACAACCAAGTTAGAGTCGCGACCGGTTCTTTGATTTGACAATTACGCGCGGGAGTTGGGACAACTGAAGGTGCTTGCCCTTCAAATGTCAACTCAACCGTATCGTACCGTAACGTTAGTCCGGGCCCGTGCCGATAAATATGGGGCTCATCCGGGAGCGTCCCAAGAGTCAAAGGCAGACGGTGACGCCACAGCCACGGACGCCCGTCCCGTCGTATTATCCTTGACAGCTCTGCCAACGGAACAAAATTGGTGCGAGACGAGCAAGATCAGCTGGCCAGCCAAAGTGGGGCACCTTCAGCAGCTTAGGTGCCTGCAACGGGAACTGCACACACATTCCAGGCTGTGTCGGAGGGCAGAGGTTGAGCGCTCACGAACTGTTGGTTCCTGCTGCAGGTACTTGCCGCATTTTCTGCCCCCCCTAAAAACCTGCTACCTCCACCCCATGCCCACCGACTCATGGGATCAGCATTCCGTCAGCTTTTCCACCCCGTCACTTTTTCTGCTAGTTGCACCACCAGCGAAACCTCCAAAGGCCCACGATACGATGTCGTGATAGCGCATTGGCAACTCCCGCGACCTGGCAAGCGGACACACCCTCAGAAACCTCTGACCCGGCCCACTACCAGACAACTGACGAATCCAAGAACCAAGATCACCGCACCACCGGCCTTGTTCTTGTCAGCTCCCGTCCGTCGGCAACCATTCCGAGGTCCTCTCTTCCCGTCGTCTCGCTAGCTCGACTGGTTTTACTTGCGCCGGGGGCCTTGCTTGCGCTCTCCTCGCCCGCCCCCTCCACCTCCCACTTCCACTTTGGGACATTCTGGTCTGCCTGCAGCTCGCCTCGTCGGCCTCGCCTTGGATGGGGTGCACCAGACCGTGGCGCCTCCCCGACTGCCTGCTGCCAACTTTCCAGCTGATCTGATAGCCATTTTGCTTGTGAGTAAGGTAGTCATCCGCAAATGCCTTTGGTCGTGCCTCTCTGCCATCAACAAATCGCAACCTGTGGATCCCCAAAGACTCCCATCCTCATCATTCGCAACACCGATGACAACATCAACCCACTTTCGCTATCCAACGCTCCAAGCCGAGATGAAGTTTGCTGCATTACACAATAGCTAACATGCTCCGTCGCTTAGTCTCGTCCATAAGCGATCAACCCGAGTCCTATCAGACCAACGACCACATGTCACCTTCGCCAGGAGATGCGCCCTCATCGCCAGACTCGATTCGCCCGAGCGGCCTGGCGAGCGTTTTCAAGGGCCTGACCGGCGCCAAATTGACCAAATCCCCCCCGCCGAGCCTCAAGTCCGCCTCCTCCATCCTGTCACCCAAAGCCGACCACGTCAACGCCACTCGGACCAATCTCACCGGTTGGTCGCCGACCCATATGGAGTCCTTGCAGGTGCTCAGAAACGGCAATGGCCCTGTCGGCGAACGTGTCACTGCTGCGAACTCGCTCCGATTTGCTGTCGCGGAACACCCAATGAACCCCGTGCTAGAGATATGGGATGTCGGAAAGGCAATGATCACGCCGAATAAATCGGACGCGGAGCGGACTGCTGGCTGGGAGCTTCTGTCAGAGTGCGTCAAGCACAAGGCCTCGTCAGATCTGGAGCGCCAGAGTTTCTTCGAAACCCTCAAGTCCCCTGCTCACGCCAACGACTTCCACTTGCAACTCGCTGCCGTTGTAGATCTGACTGCACACGGCCGAGACCTATCTGGGTTCGACTATCAAGTCATTCCGCAGCTTGAAATATGGCTCCGTGAAGCTTATCAGGCTGTCAGAGCGGCAAGGAAGCAGGCCAGCCGAGACGCCAAGAAGAACACTGGTAAGGCAAGATTTTCCGCTGCTGGGGAAGAGAAGAACCTGCACCAACTCTTCAATTTCATCGGCGAAATCATCAAGTTCAATTCCAACGTAGCCAACGAAAAGTCCATGACCAATCTCATGAAAGTCTTGGTCACCGTTTGTCTCACCACGACCATCGAGGAGGATCTACGAGCTTCCATCAATGTTATTGATACCATCGTAACCTTCGGTGCCTTGCCCACCGCAAGCTTCAAGGAGTGCGTCCTGGTTCTAGGTTCAATATTCTGTCTCGTGCCGAGTCTGTCCAAGATCGCCTGGCACACCATATCGATTCTGCTGAAATCGCACAACGGCCCTGCGGCCGTGAGGGTCCTGGTCGATCTGTTGCGGCATCTTCCAGAAAATGGTACCAGCAAGGGAAAGGATACCAGGGATATTAGAGGCGTACTGGCCGTCCTGGAAAAGCTGTTGACGAAGAGCACGGAGAAGGGATATCCACCTGTGCCTTTTGCTCTACTCCTTGATGGATTGGTTGCAGCTGTTAAAAGCACCGATTCCGGCCGAGTCCACTGTGCCGTCCTCAAGTTGATCAATTCTCTTTTCCGGGATGGCGGTGGCAACATCCACCATCTGATCATCGAGGAGGACTGGTCAACGCTTTTAAATATTGCTGCAGAATGTTCCAAAAAGGCACCGTCCGGCATCCTCATCAACAGCGAGGTAGCTGCCCTCGCAAATGAGCCAGACCGACCAGATGGCGCAATAGGTGTCGAGTTGCTGAAGCTCATAGCGCGCCTGGAGGAGCTGGCCGCGCAAAAGTCGGGTGATTTTGTTCCGCGACAGATCATCATAAAGTTCTTCATCGAGATCCACGCTAGACTCCCAGACTCGGCGGCGCGCTGTGTTCTCACCTACTTCCAGGAATTTCGATGCTGCTCGCCTTCGGACTTGCAGTGGGAGGAGAACCTGGCTTTGGTCCTGAAGGAATTCTACGCCAACCGAAGCCGCAGCTCTGAGACCCGCCTGTTGTCGCTCCAGGCTGTAACGGAGTCTTACGATATGCTGGATCTCATTGGTGAGGGGCTCGGCGACGACGACTGCGTTCCGAACCTGATCAAAGACCTTCTTCACAATATTGCCGATGAGACCAACCTCCTGGTGCTTGAGTCTGTAGTGGCTTTCATGGTCTCTGTCGCCGTTTCCTCAGATCTTGAGCTCTTCAACTACATTACGGACACGCTCAGAACGATCGTAGTCAATGATCGTCTGCTATCACCCATCGCCTCCGCTGCGTCTCGGCCGACGACACCCGTTAGTGGCGAAACAGTGGCTCCTCCCAAGAGTTATACGTCTTCCGGGGTCGTGACAAGAGGATATGTCAAGCTGTTCATGCGATGTATGAACTTGGATGGACCCAAGACCCTCAAACTCTTTGACGCACTTGTCAATATTGCGAAAACGAGCCATTGCAAGACCGATGCCCGGCTGACTGCGATGAAACTCCTCTTCCGACTTCGAGCGGATTGGGCAAATCGTGTTTTCCTGATCAATGACACGGAATCCGACGGTCTCGCGGCAGCACTCCTTCACACAGCTTCTTCTCGAGCAAAGAAGCAAGCTGAAGACGCTGCTCAACCCACGAGACCCACCAGAGCAGATCAAGGCGCTGTCTCCCGATCTACAAGAGGGATTTCATTCAGCAGCTCCGGAACTCAAGACAGAGTCTTTCCGGTCCGTTCTGCCAGCGGGGCGAAATCGTCCTCCCCGTACAAGCAACTCTGGGCGCTGCCTGACCCTGAGGCATTGCCCGAGTCTCCATCGGCGATTGCAAGCCCTATCCTAGTATCGTTTGTCGAGGACCTAAACTCAGAGACCGCGGAAGAAAGGGAGCTATCCACCGTGGAGTCGAGGCAAACCGCATTGAACATGGACTCTTGGCTCGACACGATTGTGCACATTATCGAAAACGGCAGCGAATGGGAGATCTACAGCATGGTGTTGGTTCATCTGCCCTCGCAACTTACCAACCACGCCATCTTCCGGAGCGCGGTACCGCAGATTCAAGAGCTTCGCCGAGTTACGTGCGAGCAAATCAGGACGAACAGCTTCCAGGAGCCGCCAAACTCCACAAGCCTGCGACGCGCTGATGTTGCCATTTGTCTTTTTCATACTCTGACAATGATTCTCAGTTACCACGAATACTTCCTCAAGGACCAAGAGGACGAAATTGTGCAAGCCTTTGTCAAGGGTATCTCGACGTGGGAGCGTTGCGCAAAATATTGCATCCACGCGTTATCAATCTGTTGCCATGAATTGCCTCTGTCCACCAGCAAAACGCTGGTGCAGATGTTACAGAAGATGGCACAAATCATTACACAACCCCACGTCGCAATGCATATTCTCGAGTTCCTCGCTTGTCTGAGCAGAATGCAAAACCTGTACGTCAACTTCAGAGAAGACGAGTACCGCATTGTATTTGGAATCTGCATTCGTTATCTCCAGTACGTGCGCGACAAGAAGCAGGCCCAACGAGGCAGCCTACACAGCGAAGCAGCAACACCGACCGGATCTACTTCTGACCTTTTGCATCCGAATGCTGCAGATGATCTGCCTCAGTACGTGTATGCTCTGGCGTACCATGTCATCACGTTCTGGTTCTTGGCTTTGAAGCTGCCGGATCGTGCCAACCATGTCGGCTGGATTGCCAAGAACCTGCTAAGCGACGTCGACGGTGGGCAGAATCCTGAAGAGCAAGCCCTTGTCACACTCGACTTCATGCAAAGGGTCGCCTACGCGGACGCAGACGAATCTTCCGAGGACCTTCTCTTTACCAAGGAGCGATTCGGGGAGATTTTGAAGCGAAGATGGTTAATGGGCAATAGCATTGTGACAATTGAGCAGTCGACAACGACTGGTTGGTCACAAATTACGAAGCGACAACCGTCGGGAACATCCTCCTACATTGTGCATGAGAACTTCCGACCACGCCCGGCCCACCAAGCTCAGTACATCTCTGATGTCTCGAGAGATGGGCAGGTGACCAACAACAATATCCTTCCCAGCCACTTGATGGTGCAGTTGATGACTTCGACTCCTCAAACGCAAGACACTGCCCGGCCTATTCCTCTCCCCAACGACGAAGCGACTCAAAGAACTGTGCGTGTTTTTGACCGTAATTCAACTGTAGATGGACACAAGGTCGGAGTGGTATATATTGGCGAAGGCCAAACAGAAGAGACGGAGATCCTTGCCAACGTCTCGGGCAGCAGCGACTATGTGGCTTTCCTGAACGGTTTGGGCGCTCTGACGAGGCTGAAAGGGTCCAAGTTCAATACTCAGGGACTCGACAGAGAGTATGACACCGATGGCGAGTACACCTTTTGCTGGCGCGACAAGGTGACCGAAATGGTGTTCCATGTCATCACGCAAATGCCTACAAACCTCGAACGAGACCCTCAAGTCATTTTGAAAAAGCGACACATCGGCAACGACTTTGTCAACATCATTTTCAACGACTCTGGCATGCCCTTCAGGTTCGACACGTTCCCGAGTGAGTTCAATTACGTCAACATCGTTATCACTCCAGAGGCGAGGGCGTCGTTCCTCACCATCAGAGAAAATCCGCCGAGCGAAGGGAAGCATCCACCGTTCTACAAAGTACAGGTGATGAGCAGACCCGGCTTTCCCGAAATCTCGCCCGCATCAGAGACAAAGATGGTCAGCCTGAGGGCTTTGCCAGGATTCATCCGACTTTTGGCTCTCAATGCCTCCGTTTTCTGTCTGGTATGGGCAAATCGCGAAGGCGGCGAGCATGTCAGTTCATGGCGCAACAGACTGAGAGAGATCAAGCGCCTACGCGACAAATACGGCCCTAAGAACAACACCGCCGGCGTCCATCAGTCATCGCATCCCCCCCATCTGAGTCACCTGAATAGTGCTTCGACACCTTCGCCGCCGCCCACATCATTGGGCGGCGCAGTCGTCGGCAACAGTCACCTCATAGCACAAGGTGCAGATGCGTCCAAGTCTGCGGCCAATGTGCGCGACAGCTTTAGCAGTCTGCGCCGGTCCTCTGTCGCAACTTTCTTCACGAGCACTAGCGAGCAAACCAGCCATCGGAGCTCTATGCTCTCTACCACTACCAACGACACAGAAGTTTCGCCAGGAAACGGACTCGACGCCCTTGTTGAGTCGGTCGACTTCTCCAAGTGGGCATAAAGCACGTGTAACTCAGTCTTCTCCCTCGGAATTAGATGACAACAAAAAATGGGGCGTGAGCACAGAAACGAACGAACACCTAATGGCGGATGAAAAACATAAACGAAATTCAAAATACACGGATCCTTGACGACTTTATTGACAAAAGGAGCGAGGGATAAAAGGGGTGTCGGCGGATCTTTGGGCACGAATACCATCAAAAGCTTTTTTCTATTTTACTTTTTCATGATTTAACGGGGGTTCTTTCCGAGTCCCCGTTTGTGTGTAGGCTACTTTGATACGATAAAAGACCCTTACCACTTCTTATACGAAAGTGCCATTCAGTTTGTGTTGTATGGCTTCGATCACAATCACATGCCAATCAACAGCTTGCTCAATGTATCCCTTGCCCGCGTCGACCGAGCCCGGCTGCGTCAATGCCAGTGGAAGCTAACATCCTGAGGCTATGTCCTTCTACTTTGGTGAACATAACAGCCAGCTAGACATATTCCACAAAGCCTCGACGAAATGTTTTCCATCCGTTGGTATTCTCTTGGGTTTGTTTGAAACTTTAATCTGCTAAGAGGGCGCCGTGGATTGAAAGGAGATAGGGTTCCTCTGATTCTAGAGGCCTCGATGCCACTTCGGGCTTGCCAATTGAATGCTCACGACATGGCTTATCTGCTCAGTCAGGAAAACGCGAGTGCAAGTGATAGATTCCCGGTGGTCGGCATGCCAAGTCATGTCTCAATGATATTTTCAGCTCTGCCTCCTCTAACAGCTTTTGACAGCACCACACCAGAGTCAATCGTCAAATAGGAGAAAAGGTCCGCCTTCGGCCCGCGTCCAGAGCGGTTTGGATTGGTATGCAGCAACGGCGAAGCAATGGCAGGCGTCGCGATGCACAATTTCATCCAAATTCATACGCCAAGCAAAGAGCCACAGCAGCGACGTCGATGGCGTGACTGGCTATGCTCCGGTCTCGTCATGATGGGCGGAGTGCGCGATTCAACCATGAAGCGACATCGCGATTCAGGGAAAAGATCGCTTCGTATAAAAGTCCGCCAACCATGATGCAAGCGGTTCCTGTACGTTTTGTAACGACGAACGATATAGAGAGGGACTCGGCGACGTCAACATACAATTTGTATTAACCTCTTGTCGCATCATCCCAGTGCTGCTCAGGTGGCCCAAGGTCGATAAGATAAACCCACTAATGAGTGAATAGCAGTGGATCTGAGAGAAAACATAATGAGAGACGCTCGACGAATGTTACTATTCCGATATTTTTCAACTCATCACAACATTTGAGGATTGACGCTTGAGCGATCTCAAGCCAGAGAAGCCGGAATCGACTACCAGAATCAGGAGACCACTACTCTAGCACTCGGCTTTGCCTACCAGTGCCTTTTCAAAGTCTTTGAGGCCGGAATACCGACTCTAGATATGTTCCATGTGAACAGCACGCAGCCATTGACTTGAAGACAAGAGTACGGAAAACATTAGAAAGGTCGCCCCTGGCGCCCTTCGCGTCTCGATGTTCACTACTGTTGCGTTCTCAATGTCGCGCTCTCAACTTCTATCAGTCAACTTTTACAGCTTTAGTCGCACTTCATCAGACTTCCATAAATCGTACCCGATCACATCTATTGACACAACTTTGTCTCTTAATCTATCTGTTGATCGAGTTTTCCGAAGTGAAAGATCATTCTTCCACGTTTGTGGTGACAGTCTATTTTAGGCTTTGCCGCTCTCCATTCGTCAACATAACCTCGCGGCAAGGTGATTGATTCTAAGAATTCGACTAAATCCCCAACACAAACGGCTCTGGAAGCAAGCAGAAACCATTGTCATCATCTACATTGTCCAAGTAGGACATCGGTACCCATATATGTAACTTGAAGGCTTCAAAGATAGCTCAACTGCAGTAGCAGCAGAATTTCGGCTGCACAAGAAAGGTCTGCCCGCACCGCGGCGTATCTCCTTTCCGTACGCAACGCCAGGCTGGAAATCCGACTTAATATTCTACGCACATGGCCAACGTGTTCAAGTAGACATTTCGTCTCAAAAAGTCATCTTAACCCCCCTCAAGAGAACGTGGACCATCAATTTCCATGACCGCAAGTATACCCACCGAGTGACAAAGACCGAGGGCGTACCGAAGCTTAGAATGCAGGTCACTCGCCAGCTCACATTTCCTTGCTCAGACTATATTGAGAAAAGAAGTGGTAACCAAGGTCATAAAGACATTATAGGAACGGCAACACGCAGCTCGGACGAGGCCAAGAGAATGCCACAGACTCAAAATGCCTACAAAGCTAAACGCCACATTCTCACGATCATGTACAAGCTACCTCGCAGACCTCGATTTACCCCTCTTTCATGCCACACATCTCACACGATATCGGTCCAAGATACAAACCGCGTTCTAGGCCTGTGGTCCATCGTCCATCCGTGTCCCAAAGTCAAAATGTAGAAACTGGCGTTCCGTCTCCCCCCCCCTCCCCTCTCTCAAACGCCAAATCATCCATCACGGCGCTCATTGGCTAACTAATCTTCCCGACCGCTCTAGATCCTCGAGGTAGCACAAGGTTTTCTTCTTTGACAAGGCGGCTGTACATAGTAAGACAAACAGTCCTCTTTTCGAAAAAAGCTCTTGACAAAACTGCTTATGTTCAAAAAAGCATATGTAGCGCGCCAGGCGCCGTATGTCGTGCCTTGCCGCTTTTCATCAGATTCAGCTCGTCATGCAGAACAGTTTCGACTTCCCACCAGCCCGAATTGATCTAGGGCCGAAATTGCAATAAGAGGCTGCCAAAAGGCTGGCAATCCTTTGCATGTAACGCTCCCCCGCTTTATTTTTTGTTTGCGAACCAACGCGGCTTCGTTGGCCAGGTCAAACAGGAGCTTGACGTTAACCCGTTGATCAGGGGTGTTTCCATGAGCTCTGCCCCGAAAGCAGATACTTAATCTGTAGCAATCAACAGGTCTGATCCCCTCACCCGTTCTCCTGGGTCTATCTTCGGCGAACGATATATCCCGTCGACGAGTTCTTCAAATCTTGGTCTTTCATTAGGTTCGAAATAGTAACCATTCGTCTTCCGACTCATACGTTACACCACTCTTAAAAAAGAGATTCCTTCATCCATCTCTTCCTTTGGTCTTTAAATCCATGTCTTTTATAGCCGTTAGTTCCTTAATCATCACAGACCAGCGCCGTGTGAAATGATCGAAAAGCAAGGCAACGCAACACAAATCTCGCAGCCTACATTACTTTGAAGGAATACGGTGATCTTAGTAGGTAGTAGTATACAGAGACGAAATTTTCAAATTTTGTACAATATTATCCCTTGGCACCAGAGAGCGCATGCAATGAACGTCACCATGAAGGGAGGTTAGCGGCTGGCATATCAAGTGATGATGATGCCTTCTTGCACTGTGCCTCCTATTGATACGCTGGCTTGGCTAGTCTCTGTACTGACTCAGTCATTACCATTGAAAGAATTATAAACTCGAAAGTGTGCATATGCATATGCCGGTGTCGCATCTTTGTCCAATTCGGCTCTGAGCATCCGACGGAGCGTTTCCGGCCCCCTCCGATCATCTTCGGACCCCGACGGCCCCTTTTGCTGTACGAGCTTACTCGTTGTGCGACAGATCGATGTCATGTCTCAGGAGATAGGCAATGGTAGGCAAGGCCGGAATCCCTGTCTGAAGGGCGCCCTTCCCTCAAGAGCCCGATATTGACGGAAAAATAGGCTTGTCCGCCCGATTACGTCTGCAACAGAGCCAGGGTTCCCAGCTCCTTGGGACTTTGAGGTCGGGCAAGTCTTTGCTTGAAGAAAACAGGACGACAGCGGTCCTAATCTGTCTTGTCTTTGGGACCGGGGAAGGAGAGGATCCGAACCGACCTGTCGTTTGTCATCGAAGTCTTCTTCCGCAGGTCCTCTTCCTGTGCTGCTGGCTGCCTCTTGATCGACGGTGTGAGGCGTTATTGAAAAAAAAAATAATAAAAAAAAGAAGAAGAAGGGAGGGGGGGGGGTTTGACTGCCTCGATGAAATGGCCATGTCACTTTGCCACATCGAGTGCTTAGATCTGTAGAGCTGTCACACAAGCATGATGGTCTAGTGGGTTGCCGAGTCCCCGTGGTGTGTTCGTGGCCGTCGCCCAAAGGCGTCAGACACCCCCTCTTTTCTCACCACAGTCATCACGATCCACCCTAGTTCACACTCTGCAAGTCAGCTTTCGTCGGCCGGCCACATCGCGGTCCGCTGGATGGATAGCTTCATGCGCCATAACCGCCAGGGAGAAAGACCACCTTCACCGGGCTGCTGATAGAGCTCTCCGGAAGCTCCTAGGTGTAAAAAAAAAAAAAGGAAAAAAGGCCTGGGATCGGCGGTGAGACTAACATCAACATCAGGGCCCAAGGCATGGGGCTTTCCCGACATCGCTGTGCCGCTTGGGTCAAAAGGGATTTGTCTCCAAAGTTGGCCTGCTTGCGACCATGTCAGCAGTGCCCATTACGCTATTCCGCGCCAACAGAATCTGAATATGTGTGGTTCACTGCGGCGTTCCGGCAGACAAGAGTGGGCCGGTTTGCGCCCTCGTCATGTACGCCTCAGGTAAGTCCATGTCCATACCGAAATGTTCAGATGGCGGAAGTTATCTGGTGGTGATCAATATTGGAGAAAATGCTGTATCGATCCTTGTGGAACCATGAGCAGCTTGCTATGCAAGCAGCATGTGTTTACTCTTTGAGCTCGCTTGCGCCTGGATACTATATCAGGCTGTGCGAAGCTGGCAACGCCTTCCTGTTGCTTGGCAAGTTTAGGCGAAGGGGCATTGCTTAACGAAACAACCTTCTAGGCCATTTGTGGATGTGATCCAACTTGCATATGACACCAAAAGAGACGGTACCTGTGACCAGGGATCTGGAGAACAAGGGTGGTTGCCAAGCTCGGAAGGACCAGGCTCGGACTGGTTGGGCCATGGAGCGGAGATAACCCCGCTGACATAACTGGGATACTGAGCGGAACTGGAGTCTTCGGTTTGGCTCGGTTGCTCCCGGCCAACATTTCTCTCCCGTTGGGCCCTTACTTGAAGGAGCGTGGGAGTCTGCCGTTTTGCAGGCCATGGGCAGTACAGTGGAAACCGGAGGGTCTGTGTGTAGGCATTTGTCGGACCATAGAGCGAGTTCTCCTTCATTGGGTTGGCTTTGAGCTGGAGAGTCAATCTACTCAAGACGAGTCCTCCGGTTATTAGGCCTGCGTGATCGGCAGTGCCAACACCATTACCATATGGCACAAGTAACCGAAGGGGTGTGCCTGGCACGATTGGGAGCGACATGTTTCGTGATCGTCGGTTGGGCCTCAATGGCCTTTGACGCGTTGCGGTTGATGATGTGAAGATCAGAGATTTAGAGCTCTTCTTCAGAGCTGACCATGATGCCTTTGATCAGCGTCGTTGACATAAGTCCTTGACAGTACGACAAGGTCGATATTCGGAGTGCCTCCTTACTGTGGCTGTGCCTCTGCCGGCTGGGGAGTGGTCAACAGCAAGTTTGAGGCTGTGTGGTTCGTTTTCACCGGGATAGTCGGAGAAGGGCCAAAGATCGAAGATGAACCTATCAACTGTTCCTCATGCTTGACCAATCTCACGTTCATTTTGCTCTTGAACCCTAGAAATGTCGTCAAAACTTGATGCATGTCTAGCCCATGGAGAAAGCCTATCGAAGACTCAGAACGTAGACCGCGTTACGCGCGTGACTCTGATCTCATTATAACGATGAATAAACCGTGGGGGAGTGGGGGAGGAGGGCAGGCTTTGGGAGGGTGGGATGTGGATAATTGACTTGGGTAGAGCGAATTCGAAGCGTCTACTTTCAAAGAAGGATGGTCATGATGTGTCAGTGTCAGATACGGTCAGCAAGCCAAGAAGCGCGATTAGGCACTTTGCTGACTGTCCCATAGCCCCTGTCTGACGTCGCATGGAGAAATAGCCACCCCGTTGTTGGGCTTCGGAATTTTTGCTGGTATTCATAGGCAACTTCTTGTGCAGCGCTCCTCGAAACAGATGCGCATTGGTGGCTGGCGCCGTTTTGACTAGCCGTACCTCCTTCATTAAGAGCCTCCAGTGTTTCATCGGCTTGATCTGAGAATGAACTGGTTCCATCACTGAACGTGGAGAAAACGTTTGGGGTCTTGAATCATTCGGTCTGCTGGACTGTATAACGCGATTCCATGGCTGCTGCATGTCGTTTGGTTCGCACAGCATATGAAATGCGAAACACCGCATCTCGGTCCGGTATTTGTTGGCCGTCAGGATTCCATAAATGGATTCAAACCTTTCGCCAAACGTCCTTATATCGTGCCCATTGTCGGAAACCTTTCCAGCCATATTAGAAGGATGCTTTCTCACACAATCACCGCACGTACCCAAAGATTGGAAACCGTCATCCCCTCCCTTGACACCATCGATGAACAATTGTCGCATGCCTTGCTCGGCGAGCAACTTGACACACATATCGAGCAATCTGATCATCACAGAGTCCCGGCTATTCACCATTTCGGGATGGTCATCTGAATCAGAGTCAGCGGGGAAAGCCACTAGAATCTCCAACGTGACCACGAACCTATGATGCAAATGCAGGTTACGCCCCCAGCATCCGCGCCAATAGTCCTCGTCCACGGTAAGTCGCTGCCGGCTGGACTCCCCGAATTGGGAATGTAGGTCAAAGCAACAGCCACAATAGTGACACCTTCTAGACCGAGGACGATGTCCTCGATATGAGGTGTGCCGTCTAGGTTGTAGTACTGGTCGTACCATCCCATGTTATCTTTGCGAGCCGCGTCTCGACTGACAATGTCTAAAACTCGGTGGTACTCCATCATACCGCATCGCCTGAAAGTCAGCCCAGCTGACGAAAAGCTTTTTACCGGCATGTCTCCAAATTTGAGGAGCCAGTCTGAAGCCTCCTGCCCTTGACCAGGCTGTAACCCGTCCATTTTCCAGCCTCGGCGTGAAAACCAATCTCGAGAGAAAAAGTCAGATGGCACGCCGTAAAAGAGACGTGGAAAGGCTGATCCCAGCTGCAGCCTGTTGACGCCCCGAGTTCTCTGGAGCTGCTTGAGCGCATAATCGTGAAGAGTTAATCCCACTCCCCTTCCGCGATATGAGTTCTTGACAATCAATACAGCTAGCGAGCCGAGCAGATTATCTTGGCCTCCGTCTGGATATGTTGTATATGTGGCGCAAAACCCGACAATCTGCTTATTTTCCGGTTCGCGCACAACGTAGTGCCTGGAGAAGCCATCTCTCTGAAGGAGCAAGACAAGCAAGTACTGCGGAAGGTGAAATCTGGGAGGAAGGCATTCCGTCCACAATTGATGGACTGGGGCCATATCAAGACCGCAAGCTTCGACGTCCCAAGCTCTTGGGGCGATGATGAGATTTTGGACGGGAACTGAGCTAATGGTCAGTGGACGAACATCGTCAAAAATAATCGAAGCTGCGGATTCTAGCTCAGATGGTGAGTAGCCTGCGATTTGCACAAGCGTAGCAAAGTGATCAACGTGGAGGTCATGGGCTTGGAGGTTGCAGCAGGCTACTATAATCTGCGGCCGCTCGTCTGCCATTGTTCGTGCAGCATCGGCCAAATCGATCTGAGAGACATCGTCGTCTACGTGGGCCCCAGATATGACAAAGACGATCGCCCTGGCCCTTTTGATGAATTCAAAGTGAACGTTGGTGATGCCACCTCTTTTCGTGTATGGAACATGGCGGACCAAAGGGTGCCGGGAAGCAATGGCTCGACCCAATGGTTCGAAAGGATCCTTGTCATTGTCTGCGAATCTGTTGTGAGGAACAACAACAGGTGTGAGGAGGACAATTATGTCGTCTTCCGAAAGAATTCTTCCCAGAGGGATGCAATCTTGTCGGTCCCATAGCAACATCGTTGGGACAGTTTGTGTAGACTTCGGGCTCTTCCTGGACGTGACATGGCGATCGATCTGCATTTCCGGTGAATATCTCATGGCGGAGATGGTAAAGTGCGGTTTCTTTAGCTCATCCCTGTTTCGAGTCAGCGCGTCGTTACACAAATTAGTGTCGTGTAAGGTGAGTAAGCGTTCGATAGGAAACGAAGGCTTTTGGACTCACTAGACCAATATTAGAGGAATACCATACCAACGGCATGAGACGGTTCGACTGCCGCTCGTTCTGCCGTCAGGTCCACTTGGCCACGCTGTTGCGAGCCAGCGCACTATGCCCGCGGCTACTTGACGATGAGCCAACCTAGAAGCGCAAACGCCTGTTCCCAAGTTGTCTTGTTGAATAAGAGACAGGTGTTGGCTGGAGAGGACGGGAGTGATGGACCGGATGTAAGACGATAAGCACTAAGAGCACGTCAAGGCGAGGGAGGCGTGAGTTGAAATGGTTTGATGTGTTGTTTGCGTTGCTAGGGTAGAAGAAGAAACCAGGGTCGAAACCGAAAACAAATAAAGTTGAAAGGCGTGTCCTCGATTGTTCGGTGTTGTTCGCGAAACGTTTATTGCGGTTGTTCTTGAAAGAGTTTCGGGAGACCAAAGGTCAATCGACTCGATAGCACCTGGCATCCGGGCGAGCAAGTCTTGAGGGAGAAACCAGACTAAATGTTAGAAGATACATATTTCCAAATGCTAGGACTGGTTACACATACCGCGAAGGGCTGGGAGCAGAGCCGAGTCTAAGAGGGCGATAGACTCCACACAAAGATCTTTATCCAGATAGGTGTGGGAGGGAATGCATGAGGGCCAGTAGAGAAAGTGGGGTGTGCAGCAGAGGCGACCGGTCGAGGGCACAAGGCCGACCTGACAGCCGGATTAGACACAAGATGGGGACAGATGGGCAACATGGAGGGGAAAATCTTGAAAGAAAATATGCACGGAGGCATCATCAGTTGGATGCATAACAAGGCAGAATGCTGAGCAACGGTATGTAAGAGCGAGTAAGGTCAAGGTAGGACAAGAGGTGAGAAGACGACAGCGGCTAATGTCGAGGGGCCTCCACGCTTCCTCACCGTGGGTGGTGGGTCTTTGTAGCAGGTTACCAAATCAAGGGCTCCATGGTTCCTGGTCTGGGGGACATCTGTCTGATTGATGCAATAAGCAAGTTGGTTGTAGAGGTGTGTGAGTGAGTGAGCGAGAGAGAGAGAGAGTGTGTGTGTGTGTACCCATGAAATGAGAAATGGTGGGAGGACGGATGGACGGATGGATCCAATGTAACCGGCGCGGTACGGAGCGGTAATACGTCCGTCTTGTTAGCTTACTATGATTGAAGCTGCTATTTGGGGGGGGAATAACGGAACAACGAGGGACGAACGTTTTACCTCGGTATGCTGACCACCAGGCGAACCTTGCAAATGCTACTTAGCAACACGAGGGTTAGGGAAGGTTACACAATGTTGCTGCAGACGAAATTGGCGTCCGACCTGCGGCGCGCGGCGTATAGTTAGCAAAGGTAAGGCGAGGTGAGATAGAGATGGGCACTGCGGTAAGCAGACGCCACTACACATGACGGCCGAAAGGTGACACAAAGACAAGTCCATGACAGCGATAGATTAGGCCTCACGACACTACGCCGTCACAGAAGGTTGCAAAACCCCCACGGTATTGGATGAAGGTGGTTCAGTCAGCCGAGGAGAGAGAAGTCAAGACGGAACAATGTCAGCTATCGGTGTCTGGGGCCTGTCTCGTTCATTCGTCCAAGCGAGGCCGCCACCTCGCTTGAAGCCCGCTTGCGGCTTGCTATCGTTGCCTGTCATCCGTGGCCATGGTTTTGGAGCTCCCAACCAACAACTGCCCTGGACAGGCCCGCTGAAAGTAGCAGGTCCAAGAAAATATAGGAGGCTGCCTGGTCTAGCAGAGCCAGCTTTGGGGGAGTTTTGGTGCTTGTTCGGAGTGTGGAAAAATAGGGTTTACCGGCAGAATCCTACCGACGAAAAGGGACGAGAAAAAGGCGCAGAGATACAGGGGAGATGCCCATGTTCATTCGGTCTTCTCGGCTGTGGAGACCTCGGCCCGCGACTGATAATGATATGTGAGGCCACAAAGCCAGAGGGACGGACACATGGCGAAGGAAGTCGTCGATCGGATGATTCGTCAAACAACAAGGGAGAGACGTCGGTGAGCACATAGAGTACGGCAAGATTCAAGAATGGTTGGAAGGGCCGGACATGGCGCCAGTCAGTCCCGGGTATCGAAGCGGACCTGGAACAATGTCAGTGACGAGACCAAACTGCAGTGAGGAGTCAGAAGACCTGAATCGACAGCTCGATCACGGCGGTCTTGCACCAAACATGCGGTAAGAAGCGGAGGCGAGAATGACCTCGCGCAGAAAGGTGGAGGTTTGTAAGAAGCAATGAATGATGTGATGGGGCCGGACGACTGAAGGATTCTTGCGAGGCATTTGCGTAGCCGGTTTGTGGAACAACAGGCAAAGATGGCAGTATGACTAGACTGGGTGAGCCGCTTCTGACGCCGCAGTCAGCGAGCTTGACCATATGAGGGCATTGTTGGGCCCAGTAGTATTTGTGCAGGATGCGCCTGTTGGAGGTTGCAGATGTTTCGAGGCAACCCTGTCACCGAGAGGCAGCTAGTAGGGTAGTGTCCGCAGTGTACGCAGTGTACGCAGTCTTAATGTTACGGTGAGAGACGTTGGAACTTGGCAACAGTAAGTTGGGCGCGCGAGGTTAGGTAGAGGTCACGCAGGAACTTCGCGGGACGGAGCGTCGGGACGGCGGTATACAACGGTAAGCACGGGCGTTGCTGGAACGGGTAGGTACGTACGGTCCAGGATGCCGCCAGACGTAACGTCTCTACGTACCTACCCATGGTCTTACCTACCTTGATACGCAGATAGTTATTTGGGTTGAAGACTCGTCGAATTGAGATGCCTCCATGCAAAAGACGCCTTGCCAAACATGGGCATTCATGTGCCTTACCTTCCTACCTTGCGGATACCGGAGCAATTCCTCTCTCTCTCCCCCCCCTCTCTCCCAACAACTTGCAGACTGCAGTTGCAGCAAATGATGTTTGCAGGTCGCCTTTCGCCTTGTGTAACCCCAAATAAGACCACGAATGTCCCCCTTCTTTCCCTTTTGCCCTTGCCGTGCATTTGTACCTGCCTCTTGTCAATATCTCCTACCCCGACCCCGTAATCACAACGGGAAAGCCAGGAGCAGAGGCCGGGTAGAAAGACCGGGTAGAAAGAAGACCATTCGCAACCCGAGCCGAATCGTCCTCGTCACGCCTTTCATGACTTGCTGCAAGCCTGTAACACGGATTCTTGGATGACTGCACCTCATATCTCACATTAGTCCCCCACATGGACCCCAAAGACCAAATGAGCGACAGCCATGGCAGCCAAGACGGCATATGCGCCGCTTACGGTCCGAAGGTTGCCACGACGTCAATGACCAGACCAGCAATTGCATATTCCAAGACCGGTGAGCACCTCCTGCTGCTGAGGTTTGTTCGTTGCCATTCCCCCGCCCGCAACGACGAGGCCACTTGAAACGACTCCTTGGGGTCCAAATCACCAGAGCAAGCCGTACCGGGGCAGATGTCCGTCAACCAGGGCAATTCCATCGGTGGTCAGATCCTCAGGTCATGGCATGCCTCCTCTGCTGGCTCGTGATTTATCCGCGGGACCTGGACAGAGGTGCAACGATGCAGGGGCCCGCCTGGCCTCGGCCGGCCTCGCCCAACCCTTCACCGAAGCGTGCTTCTGTTGATACCTCCCGTTTCCGCGCGTATTCGCGCTCATTGCGGATATCGCTGACCGAAATCCCCCCACACTGGATCCGACAACTTGTACAGAGCAAGGCAAGGATGTAGGCGTATGCTTCTGCTCCGGCTCTGCTCCTGCATCTGTTTTAAGCGAATTGCTGAGGATGGAGCTTGCTCCGGCCAGTGACCCCGGCCGCTGGAGCGCCGAAGAATAGACCCATAATGGTCCAGCACAGCCAATGGGAAGATGGGCTCCGTCAGAGTGACAGGGTCAGCGTGCACGGTCCCCTTGTTCCGGTCTGGACGCGCTCACCTTGATCTTCACCCCTCGCGACGCGTCTGTCCCTCACGCCGAACCGGGCCCGTCACCCATGTTGGACCTTGACGACGCTGGACCCCGCGTCATCTAATGTTGCCAAATTGTCTCCATCCATTGGAGACTCGGCACGAAAAGAGTGTCACCTTTTCAAGAAGCAGAAGTACCAGGTAGAATGGCTTCGCCCACCAACGAAACGTCTCTGGAAATAAACGTCGACCTTGACGTCGGCCTCCTAATTGGCGATGTTGTCGAGGGTGAGTTGAACCCCTCACAACACAAGCATTTCGTGGATTGACTCAACTTCATTTCTACAGCTTCCAGGATCCCCGCAAAACGGCGAGCAATCAATATCAAGCCCACTGTCGAGAAAGTCGCGTCACACGCTTTTGAAAATGGCCTGCTTCCCGAACCCCTGAGCGAACTCATTGACCTGCTCACGAGGCCAAGCTTGTTGGACCAGGCAAGCTTGAATGCTCTGCTCAAGAACCTCTACCCTGCCACTCGACTATCCAGTGATATCGTCTTGAGGGTTGTAGGATGCCTGGGCCACGGCGAATTGAAGCCTTCGCTGGTCCTGCAGTCGAATGTCCTGAAATGGCTGATCATGGCATACCATATTATCGAGAAGCCCGCCATCCTGTCGCAAGCATATGCCGTTCTGTTTAACTTGCTCGACACGGCAGCCATACGGTAGGGAGGTTTCTCTGATGCGTGCAGGAAAGGGGCTAACGCTAACCAAGACCGCAACTTTGCCATCTGCTCGCCTTGATCACACGCAGAAAACATGTCCGGCCCTTCAGGATCCAAGCTGTGTGAGTTGGTCTCCCGGCACACGCAGAGAAGTCTTGGTGCTAATCACACATCTCAGCCTCAACCTTTCCAGACAAACAGGCAATGATCCCGCACTGACGGGCCTCCTTCGGGTTTTCAAAGACTACTATCCCGAAATTATCGTCAGCGATGCGCTAAGGGGCAGAGCCTCAGCTTTCAAAGTGAGAGATTTCCCGACATGCGTACAAGACATCCATTCTGATTTCATAGCACCCCGACGTGGAATGGCGCCAAAGGCTAAGCCAGATCCAACGAGACCATTCTCAACGGACCGCCGAAGCAGCCGGCCAACCCCAGAACGGCTTCAGCGTCAATCACCAGGCTCTCAGGGCCCGCGGCAACAAGTCGTCAAATCTTCCTCCTGTCTACACTTCGGAGGCCACAGAGGTAAGCGTCTGGAGGAAAGCCAACCAGATAATGATGTGTATGGCTGACAGTTACGAAAGACCTCAGTCACCCTGGAAGAAATTGACAGTGCCGATCGCCTTGCCCAGACAGTTGAGAAGATTGAGCTGCCTAATCAGCTCGCGGCTGTGCTAGCGGATCCCCTTCTCCAGAAATTCGTCTCCCTAAAGAAAGATGATGCCGCTTCGAAACGTGTGGTCCACTGGATCGATGCCGTCCTCGAAGACGTGCTCAACGGCAACGCCGATTACAAGTCGTTTATGGAAACGATGGAAATGCTGGAGGAATACGTGGCCCGTGTCAAAGTAAGCATTGCAAACCACTTCAATTAAGCCTCGCTGACTGTGTAGGAAACTCCACCGGCCGTCTTACAATTCCTGACGAAATTGTTCACGACATGGAATGGCATCGATGCTCGGGATTCCATCCTCGGCATTCTTCAATACGCGCCTCTCGTGGCGTTTGATGGCAAGCGGTCCATTCTCGGTGTCCTCCACCGTATGCTGACTGTGTACCAGAGTTGTACAAGGTAATTCTGAAGCCCCTGGAAAAGTGTCTTCCTCCAACAGCCGAGTCTCAGCTGGCACTGCTCAAACTCTACCAAAACCTCCTCCGCCGCTGGACCTTTGTTCTCGTCTCGCTCAACGAGATCCCCAAGGACGCCCCCGTCAGTGTATTTCACGAAGTCATGGAGCACGCAGGCATTGTCGCCCTAAGCCTCGTCCAAGCCTCATCCAGTGCCGCTGTCCACGGCGGTGTCCTCGACCTTTATGAGCAGGCCGCCGCCAGCATCTCCGATCCTACCCTTCAGCCACTCCTCCGCATCGCCAATCCGCCGGCTCAGCTCATCTACCTTCTCTTCTTCAGCCACTCCCTAGCCAACGTATCGCGCCTGTGCACCGTCCTGGCCATATACAAAAAGGGCTTCGAGATGGCCATGTCTAGGCGGCAGCCGACGACGTACGCCCCGAGCTATGTGAACCATTTCAACGGGTTCCTTATGGACATCTGCAACTGCCTCTGGCGCGGCAAGGCCTTCAACGACGGCGATAAGAACGCTCTCGGTTGCCTCAGTGCGCGTCCCGTCACCCTGCGGCTGCGCAGATATGTCGAAGACCTGGGCATGGACCTCGCGCTGCCAACGCTGTTTGGGTTCTCCTACTCGCCCTTGCTGAGCTTGCAGGCCTTGGAGTGTGTTCGAGAGCTGGAGGACCGTGAGCTGGCTGCGAACGAGGACGCCATCTCTACACGACACGCGGGGCCGGTGACGTCGAATAGTCTGGCGAGATTGGCAGACGCCAGGGGCCTACGCATCACGTGGTCCGAGTATAGGATCATTGTGCTACGAGCATTGGAGGGTAAGGGGTTGGGCGGCATACCCTCGTTGATGAAGAATACGATGAAGGTCCTTATGAGCTCTAAGAATGCCATATAGAGGGATACTCCTTCCACGACGCTAGTCGGTTCTTGTCTGGTAGACATGGCGACAGGGAGAGGCTTGGGACGGATGTATTCATGATACCCCTTTCGGAGATGAGTAACGCAACCTGAGAGCAAATGTCTTTCTGACATTCTGTTACATGACTTTCTCATATCTGTCTAGTTGAGTCGACAGTTTTTCCTCCGTCCAAACGTAAAGCCCCTTTCGGTTGAAGACATAGGGTATCTCTAAAGCCGTGGAAATCCTAAAAGAAAAAAAGCCCATCAGGGCTGTGCCCCCCTTGTTGAAGGGGTCTACGTGACCAAACGCCGCCGTCGAGCAAGGCCGGTTGAGAGTGCCCCTCTTATGCTCCGTATTCTACCTAAACCTCTCCCTTTCCTGATCCCGTTGTCTAAGTTGAAAGACATACCGACGCGGAAGCAACCCTAGCTTGGTTGCTACTTCAGATTGCTTGAAATCAAACACACAAAACACCGTCCCTAAGGCAGTTGAGTGCCGTAGACGCCGCTCTCTCCAGCAGCATGCAGAAAGGAAATTGAAAACTGTTGAATCACCCCGCTACCAGACACCCGTGTCGAGGAAAGCTGGTGCTCCGTCGCTCCGCGCGTTGCCAAGAGTCAAGAACTCAAGCTTCATTTCAGCTTGTCAGACTCATCGCCATAGCCTCCGACGCCGCCAGTCGCATACGTCTTGCCCTCAGGCGCGACCCTTGCCTGCGATCTCGGACCGCGGTCCTTGAGATCCTTGCGCAGCCAGCCGAGGACCAGTTCGCCGAGCGTGCTATTGCCGGTGGTGCCGTCGAGGCCCTCGATGAACTTGTCCGCCGTGTCCCACTCGCGGACGGTGCCCAGGTGCATGTGCACCAGGTGCGTGGGCCACCCCGCGAGGTTATCGAGAATGTGCGTCGCATAGACAATGGTGCAATCCCGGATCTCCGTCTCACGACGCAGCCAGGCGAGGAACTCAGCCCTGCTGAGCACGTCGAGGTCGACGGTGATCTCGTCGAGCAGCAGGATGGTCCAGGGCCGGATGAGGCCCATTGCGAGCTGGACCCTGCGGCGCTCACCGTCCGAGACGGCGTGCATGCGCCAGGCGGTGTCGATGTCGAGGACGCTGACGAGCTCGTCGCGGCGGTCCGGGTATGCGTCACCGCCGACGGACCTAAGCAGCTCAAGAACGCCGATGTCGGTGCGGACAATGGGGTTGAGGACCCATTCCAGGCCGAGGTAGGTGACGCCCTCGAGGCCGTCCTTGAAAGGGTCGATGCCGGCGATGGAGATGCCGCCCTGGGGCGCTAGGCGTTTGCCGGCGAGGAGGCGGAGGAGGGTGGTCTTGCCGGCGCCGTTGGCGCCGATGAGGAGGGTGCGGGAGCGGGAGGGGACGGACAGGGAGATGTTCTTGAGGCCGGAGCTGGAGTCTTGAAAGTTATAGCTGAGGTTTGTCACCTCGATCGTGGGTGATTTTTGAGCCATTGTGAGTTGTGGTGAGAAGTATCGATCAAGTCTTAGCACAAAAAATGAGAAAGCAATGAAACAAGAGGAAAAAGAAGAAGCTGGTCGTGGGAAACGTGAGTTGTTCACTGAGGGAGAGAGAGGGACATTTAATGTAAGGGCAAAAAACTAGGCGATTTCATCATCACACCGCCCACAATTGGAGGCGTCATGACCTGACATCCCCGGCGATACTGCGGGAAGACAGGGGTCCAGACCAAAAAGGCAGCAGAACCCGCGTGCCTTAACACTTTATCGCGCACTGGATGAACAAAAAGTTACACACCCGGCGGGATGGCGGGGGGGAAACAGAGTGCCCCTCATTCTCATCCCAGAGCGCGACTGATGACACACAAGGGGGGGGTGGGAGCGGAGCGTCCCTTCTGACCAGGGAACCCCGCCATGACTTCTAGGTTGGGTGGACGGCGGGCCTCCGGGCCGCTCCAAGCACCGGGGCGGGTCCCCCGGGCAAGCAAGCCACAGGGAAGCAACCCCTCCCAAGCACAATTTACGCCAAAATTCGCGACTTTTCCAAGCCCAAAATCCTCCGACGCGTCGGGTGTGTGCATCACTTTACATCCCGGCTCCAGACCACCACCTCGTCCATTGACACTGCGCAGAAGCTCTTTCCAGCTCAGTCACACCAGATCAGCTCTATACAAGTGTCGAAAGGAACATTAAGTTCATTGCTGCAATGGTGACTGTCGAAGAAGCCACCGCGCTTCTGCAAAAGCCAGCGTAGGTTTCAGGACTCACACCCATCTATCCGTATTAATCTTCAAATGTCGTGACGAACGGACAGAAATAGCTAACGAGGCTTCCATTCACAAAAACACAGTGACGCAAACACATCCTCGTCGAATCTCATCCGCGTACCCTCGACCTACAAACCCCTTCACACCTTTGATCTCCCCAAGGAGCGCTCGTACCAGCAACAGTATGCCGACGTCTACTTCCTGCGCCTCACCTCCATCCGACCCGCCGTCGACGCAGTCGCCGCAGAGGCATGGGACGGCACCATCATAGGCGGTGAGGAGGCCCGCCACGTCAACCGTGTTCTCGACGTCCGCCAGGGCGAGCTTTGCTGGGTGACGGGGACAGTCTACATGGACATGGCGCTGAAGCCCAATATCTTGGAGGACGTTTCCAAGGATGTACGTCCCTTGGCCACTCCTTTTTTTTTCTAGCCATGATCACAACCTTGGGCTGACGAGGAGACACAGCGTTGGATCTCTGCTCCCATCTCCACGGACCGCTACTACTCCGACGAAGACAAGGACACAATCATGCTCGAAGACGACTCGGGTCGCATCCGCCTTGTCGGCGACATCCTCAAGTCCATCCACCTCGTCACGGGCACAATCATCGGTGTCATGGGCTCCGAAAACGCAAACGGCGAGCTGGAAGTCATCGACGTAAAGTTTCCCGACATCGCGCCCCAACCCACTCGCTGGACCCTCGCAAATGACCCATCGGAAGACCACGACATGTCCGGCACCGCCTCCACCCCGTCTCAGCGCCCCTCCTCGAAAATCGCCATCATCTCAGGCCTCTCCTTCTCGAGCACCGACGCCTCCTACGCCCTCGAACTCGCCCTCCTCCTCGAATACCTCCTCGGTGAAGCCCTCTCCCCCGCGACCCAATCCGAGCTCACCAGCATCTCCCGCCTCATTATTGCAGGAAACTCAATCGACACCACAACGCCCACCGGCGTCGCCGACAACAACAACACCACCAGCACAACCAACGGCAGCAAAGCATCAAATACCAATAAGAAGTACGGCTACGACGCGAGCGCGTACAATCCGCTCCCCAGCCAGCTCTTTGACGACTTCCTCGCGGACCTCCTCCCCTCCATCCCCGTCACCCTCATGCCCGGCACCCAGGACCCGGCCAACGCGAGCTATCCGCAACAGCCGATCCACTCGGCCATGTTCCCACGCTCGCGACCCTACTGCGCCGCCCCGGACGCCAAGGAACCCGGCTGGCTCGACACCACGACGAACCCCTGGGAGGGCGAGGTCGACGGGTGGAGGATGCTCGGCACCGGCGGCCAGAACGTCGACGACGTCTTCAAGTACGTCGACAGTGATGATCGTTTAGGCATGATGGAGGCCATGTGCAGATGGCGGTGCAGTGCGCCGACCGCACCGGATACACTTTGTGAGTTGAAACCCCTTTTCACTCTTTTTGACGCTGGCCCTTGGACATCGTCTTAACTAATTGCGGTCATCCAGGGGCCTACCCCTTTCAAGACGACGACCCGTTCGTCATGAAGAACGCGCCCCATCTCTTCTTCGTCGGCTGCCAGCCCGAGTTCTCGACCAAAGTCATTGAGGGCGGCGACGGCCAGCAGGTCCGGCTCATCACCGTGCCGTCCTTTGCAGAGACCAAGGAGCTGGTGTTGGTGGATACGGAGACACTGGAAGTTTCAAAGATCAAGATCACGGCGGCGGGAGCCACGGCAACGGCATCATGATGGGAAGAGCTGGAACAGTTGTGGAGGAGAGCACGAAAAAAAAAAGAGGTTTATGATTTTAAATACCCCCTCTGAGCTACGAAGAGAAATGCAAACGTCTCTGAAGAAGCAGAGATTCTGAATTAATGCTACCCAAAGACTACCTAGGGTCCAAAGAATAAGAAGATCAAATGCTGATGTGGAAGATGCTCAATGGACCAATTACCAGCTCAGAAAGGCTGCAGAAATCACCTCCCAGCGTAGCGACAAACCTGAAAAAGGCCAACCAAATGCAATCGCCGCTCTAGCCACGAGTATCAACTTCTTGTACTCCGACGAGACGCACCGCGAACCAAAACCAAGAATCCAAAGAAAACCTTCCCAAACGCAAGCAAGATCACGCCACAGAAAGAAACTCTTGGCCTAAAGATAGCACTCAATAGTACTCATCCGAATCCTCCTCTGCATCATCAAACTCGTCCCGCTGGCGCAAGTACTGCCCGTTCGGGCCCTCCCAAATCTTGCGAATCATGGCCGGCAACGACTCGAGCTTCTTCTGTGCCTCGCCCGCCTGCGCGCTGCGGTACGACTGCATGACCCGGTCGTCGCTCCACATGTCCACCTCGCCGCGTTTGGCGCGCCGGATGTTGGCCGCGTACTTCATGTTGAGGCGGATTTTCTCCTTGTTGCCGCCGCCCGTGTTGACGATGATTTCGATGAACTGGCACGGCAAGCCCTTGAGCGTGCGGATGACCTCTGAGGATCTTTCAAAAAAGTCGAGAAAGGCGATTTCGCCCGTGTCTTTGTCACGCATGGGCGTGATTTCGATGGTGAGGGTGTGGATGCGCGGGCGGAGGGGCTTCAGGCTGCGGAAGACGCTGATGGCGTTGGCCATGCTGAGGAGGTAGGGTTGTTCGGCGCGATTGTGCTCGGCGACGATCATGAGCTTGCGGAACTTGTGGCCGAACCGCCGGATATCGATTGCGTTTTTTGAATGGCTGTCCTGGAACTGGGGGAGGGGATCGTCGTCGTCGTACTCGTCTGCGCTGTCTGCCTCGTAATCGGAGAGGGCATCATCGTCAGCCAGCGGGTGCTGGACGACAATCTCATTCTCGCCTTGCGTGTTTAGTGCGGGGAGTGCTGCGGCATCGCGGAGTAGATACTGGAAAGTGTTCTCGCCATAGAGGGTGTTGAGCGCCTCCCTTCTCACCTGGCGGCACGTTCGTAGGATATCGGTTCGGATGGCCGCTCGCTTCCGAGGATAGACCGCGGACCAGCCCTGCCGAACTCGAATCGGCTCTTGAGCTACCAATATGTGCTTGTAGATGTCCTGCCTGACCTCGAGGGGCAATCGAAGAAAGGGGCAGAGGGCCCTCTCGGGCTCCGGGCTGACCGTCTTCGACAAGACGCCGCTATGGCTGTACCTGGTCTTTGCCTGCGAGTTTCTCGAATGGACTGACTCTTTGCCCTTGTTGTGAGAAACCGCGGGCTTGTTCCTTGGCTGAGCTATGAGTCGAGGCTTAGCTATGGGTCCAGGCTGAGCTACGGGTCGAGGCTGGGGAGGAGGGATGTAGGGAGCGCCCCAAGTGAAATGCGCCGTCGACTTCCTTGCGAAGGTTGCTCCATAATCACGCGGTGGAGGCTTCTCACGAACGGCATAATAATCGGATGGGTTGGTGTTATTGCCGCCCGTCCTGCGTCGTTTGCTGGGTTTCATTAAGCCGTCGTCATCGCTGTCTTCTTCAGCGATGACGATGGTCCTCTTCTGGCCGCCGACGACGATTGTGGTCTCGGCCGGGCCACGAGTCTTGGGATTTCTAGTTGGGACGCGTGCCTTCGGTTTCGAAGATGTGGCCTTGGACGCCTTGATCCGAGATGCGCTTGGAGCAGCCGTGCTGTCTGCCTTCTTGGCCACACGGGAATTCATGGCCGGACGGGGAATCTTAGCCGGACGGGGAATCTTGACCGGACGGGGAACCTTGGCAGGAGGCATATTGCAAATGAGATGAAGTCCCAGTCCAGGACTATATGTCCGGGGTTAAAGTAGACACCTGTGATTGTCGGGAGATTAAACTTGAGTCTCTGTACGTTCCTGTGCTAAATGACTTGAAGTTAGAAAGTCCTCAAAAGAGCTTTTGTAATCAGTGAATTGCAAAGCCCACAAACCTCTAGTATAAAGTTCGCGAAGGTAATGCTTTGACAGGATCTCTGAGTCGTTGTTAATGTAAGTATCTGAGAAGTAAGCACCGTGTTCTTTAGTGTGTTGAGAGCGCTGGGTCAAGAGCTGATGGAGAAGGGGGATACTCAGATGGGTGAGAGGTTGGAACTAAGAGAAAAGCTGTCTGTCCCAGCGACGAAAAGAAAGGGTGGCTTTGAGGCAATAGCGATTGAGGGCTTGAATAATGTGGGAGACTGCAGATTTTTCGAAGGAAACAAAGAGTCTATTGATTATGAACAATGAATGAAAGCGGGTTCGAGTTGAGGAATGAGGACTGTCTGTTGTCGAAGTTCTGAGCGGTGGCGATGGTTGACGAGTTGCTCATTCGTCTCCGGTTGAATTGGCTGCTCGGGAAAGAAGCAATTGATGACGAGAAAAACACGCTGTCTTTCCCAGGGTAGACGATATGATATTGGTGAAATGAGTGAGGTTTCAGTAAGGCGTTGCTGGTGAAAAGATGTTGGTAGACAGACTGGTAAAAATATACTTGGTGTCTCTCATACGGCTTGGGAAGGAAAGTTCCTCGAACAGAGAATGCAGAGGGAAAGCGTACCTGTTGTTTATTAGAAGAAGCTTCACCTATATTGGAACCGGGCTATTGGGTGCCGATGAAGCCAAGGTCAACAAGTTTGGCAAAGGTGTTGGAATCTTTGACGTATATGATTGTTGGTGAAATGACTAAGATAGCAGTATGAAGCAACTGTTGCCAGATTAGTGCAAAGTGAGTTTTACGAGATGATGTGTTGAGTTAGATCGCGAGGCTAGGACAGCAGTACAATTCCCCCAATTGTGTGTGAGATGAAGTTCCGGGCAAGAGGTGGACGGGAGGAAGGCGCTTTCCATGGGAACAAATCTGGTCAACTGATGACTTATGAATCCAAGGTGGTCATCTCGATAACTTCAACGATGAAGGATCTTCATTTCACTCCGACTCCCTCGCCACAAGCTGACAAAGATTTCTCCCAGATTCCTGTTACAATGGGGAAGGTTAGTTAACCTGAATTCATCCACCTTACGCCTTCCTGCTGCCAGCCCAGCTTCCAAACGCCTCTTCTTGAGTGCAATCGATAAACCATCTCACTAATGCTTTGAAAGCACGATTTCCTGGAGCGCAAGTTGTGACTATATCGAGTTCTGTTCACTGCCAAATGGTTGAGTAAATAAATATCCAGGACGAAGGCCTAAAGGCTGGTCCCGTAGCTGTCGTAATGTCCGGAGGTCGGGTCGGTCATGCTGAGATGCCCCGGGTTGGCTTTCCGCTGCCGATCGGTAGTGCTCTCCGTCGGACCCCTGTTCCGGCCCCGCGCACCCGCATGGCCAGGCGCGCCCTTTACTTGACTCGATCCAGTAATACGCTGCAAGCACCACGGTTTTAGTTCATCACAGCGTGCTTTGCGCGCCCTTGCAACGTTATCGAGAAGCTTCTTCACTGCCTCCCACCAGCGTATAACAGAAAGACAACCCATCATCGAGGCCGGCCTCTAGCATTGCCAACGCCCTACGAAATCGGCGCTTTTGCTGACTTGATTCCGGTCTGAATTGATAATCTCAAAGCACTCGTAATCTAGCGAATAAAACTACTCGAGCAGTCACCCGTGACATTCATACTACATATTTCGCCTCACCAATATCATCCAGACACTAGCTTCATTTTCTCAGAAGAAAAGGCTCAAAGGAAGAAGTGTGAAAAGCACCCACTGGATAAGGTACATTGGCTTGGCCATTCTGTTCTCCTCGAATCGTTCCCATCGGCTAACATTCATGCAGTGCGCAGGGCTACAGCAGCAACCTTCACAATGGGTTCCCTCAGTCCAGACTTCAAGAAGCCCTGGATCCAAACACCATGCATCGCATCAGCGACCCTCTCCCGCGCAGCAGGATGGTCAGTCGTCCGTGACCTTGCTTGAAACCGGGCCCCAGGAACCCTTCAGCTGACGACAACCCAACTCAACCAGCAACATCTTCCTCAAACTTGAGAACCTCCAGCCCTCTGGGTCCTTCAAATCCCGTGGCGTCGGCAACCTCATGGTCCGCGCCGCGGCCGACGCCGCACCCGGCCAAGACTCCCACTTCTACTGCTCCTCCGGCGGCAACGCCGGCCTCGCCTGCGCGACGTCGGCCATCGCCCTGAACCGCAAGGCCACCATCGTCGTGCCAATGACTACCTCCCCGCTCATGATTTCCAAGCTGCGCCTCCTCGGCGCCGACGTCCGCCAGATCGGCGCCAACTGGGCCGAGGCGGACCGCCACCTCCGCGAGGAGATGCTCGGCAAGGACACCGCTGGCGTGTACGTCCCTCCCTTTGACCACCCGCACGTCTGGGACGGCGCGTCCACCATCGCCGACGAGCTGGTCTCGCAGATGGGCGCGGCGGACGTCGAGGTCAGCGCCATAGTGTGCTCCGTTGGCGGCGGCGGCCTGCTGGCCGGTCTCGCGCAGGGCGTCTCGCAGAACCGGTGGCCCGGCGACGGCCGAGAGCCGCGGCTGGTGGCCGTGGAGACCGTCGGCGCCGACAGCCTCAACGCGAGCGTCCTTGCTGGAGAGCTGGTTACGCTGCCCGGGATCAAGTCCATTGCGGGTTCCCTCGGGGCGGTGCGTGTTGCGGCGAGGGCGTGGGAGGTGGCGAGGGACACGCCCGGCTTCCAGAGCGTGACGGTCACCGATGCGGAGGCGGCCTTGGCGTGTGTGCGCTTCGTCGATGATGCGCAGTTGGTGGTTGAGGTTGCTTGTGGTGCGACGATTGCGACCGCCTATAATGGCGCGCTCAGGAAGCATTTGGGTGCCGGCCTGTCGGATGAGGAGTGGGCGAAGCAGAACATTGTGCTCATTGTTTGCGGCGGTTCCAATGTCACAATGGAGATGTTGAACGAATACAGTGCAACGTTTGGGAATGCGTGATGAAATGATGGCTTCAGCCATGGAAAGAGATTTGGAGTGTATAAAAATCACGGGCGTGGGTAGACCCAGAGAATAGACTCTGTCTGTGGGGTTCGAGATGACTTCCTAGAAGACAAAGAACGGGAGAAGCATTGCGACTTTGATACATATGAATCTAGACAATTGCTAGTACACACATGTTCCTCGATATGAAAAATCTATCGACAATACAAAACCTCGCGATATTCATCTGCAGCCATGACTCCAGCGGAAGACGCCGCGAACTCATCCAAGTCCCCGAGAACCATCTGGATCTCACCAAAATAATTCACTTCCCCCTTCTGCACAAACCCCAGCCGCCGAAAGAGCGCAATACTCGCGGCGTTGCCCTCCTTAATCTTCACCATCAAGCCCTTCAGTTCCGGCGCCTCCGCACTCTTCTTGCCCTCCTCCCCAACGACGTACTCCTCGAGGATCCGCGCCTTGTTGCGGAGCACGTAGGTCAACAGCGTCGTCACGGCGGCGTGGCCGACGCCCTTGCCGCGATGCTCCTTGGACGCCACCATGACGTCCACCTCGCCAACATACGAGGCATCATTCGCAGCTTGGCTCTCTTCGTTTCCGTCGTCGTCATCATCGTAGGGGTAGATGAAGAAGTTGATATCGCCAATCATCCGCTCCGAGGCGTCGACCTTGCCTGCGTGTACGGTCTTGTGGGAGGTCGTCCGGTCAGATGAGTCGAGGGGCTGGCAGATGATAAAGGTGAGCTTGTCGTGTGAGGTGCGCCATGACTGCTGGTTCTCGTATTCCTCTTCCAATGTGAGCGGCTCCGAGGCCGTGGCTTCTTGGATATCCTGTGTCACACAATGTTTACACGGTCAGTATCACTCTTCGTTTCCTCTGCAATCCAGGTCTGTCTCATGACTTCGTAAGCCGAGATGAGTGTTGCTTTTTGTTTGCGGGCTTTGGCTGACCGGATCGCTCATCCACTCATGATATTGCTCCACATGCCTCGCCTCGTAGGGGACGAGAGTCACTCTCGGCGTCACAATAGCTACTCTGCGTGTAAGCGCATGTCATCACAAATTAGATTGCACCATCTCCTCCCAGAAGGTGGGCAGACGCAATACATGCCTGTATGCTCGTTCAGTCTCATTGTGCACTTGCATAAGTCGCTCTCGCCCTCACACAATTGCTGCTTCCCTCTATCACGCAGGTCCACTTCAAAAAGCCAACGCCCCCGCCGGTCTCACCCACAACAAGCTCCACGCTCCTCTCCTGCAGGCGTCCCAAGGAGGCCTGCGGCTGAGACAGGACGATGGTCAAGGATGGAGTTCTGACCCGTGGTGTCCACAGCCAACGGCGAAATAGTCAACGTGCCAGAGTGGTTAATGGGCTGCCCTGCTACGGATACCGGGACCACGTCCCGTTCCAGCAGTTGAGGCAGTGGCTTCGGTCGCGCAAGTTCGAATCTTGTCGTTGACGGTGATTACTTTTTTGTATACAAGACTTTGGAATCGTTTCGAGTAAGTCGGAGAATTGTGAGAGTGATACTTTTGTGTCACCGAGTTGGTTGGTGGTGTAGCTGCCAAAGCGGGATGTGGTTAGACCTTGACCCCACTAGTTTTGGACTGAACCACAACTACCACCACGTAGACAGAAAGAGCAGTGACCACAAGCCGTACCTCGAACCAGACTGACCAGTTTTTAGGGCAAAAATGATTTCGATCATCGACCCCGATCGATGTAATATGCAATAGAGACAAAAAGTAATGCGTCAAGGACAGGATTCGAACCTGCGCGACCGAAGCCACTGCCTAATCTGGAATCAAGGTTTGATAGCAGGGCAGCCCATTAACCACTCTGGCACCTTGACTAGTGACTTTCGATGTGTCTTAAGGATGGAACACAGAATAAGAAGGCCAGTCTGAATGGCGAAGTCACAGAACTTTATCGACCAGTTGCTTGTTTCTATCCTCGTCCTCGCAAGCCAATTCCACTCTCGCGACGTCTCAGATATTCCCTGAAGTAGCTCCCTTCATGGATAGGAACCGCGCATTGTACCGCAGCCGACCTGGGCACTTGAATGGTCGCTCTGTAAAATTACACAATGTCTACACACCATCCTACACTCGGCCTCAAAACAGCGGAGATATTACATATCTGTACACGGGGACAACCATATTGAACACAATTACAAGGCTCCCTGCGGCTCAGTTCTCCGCCGGCTGAGGAGGAAACAAGCTGTTCCACTCCCCAGGGCGTCCCGGGTCAACCACAGGTGTGCCGTACGTCAAGTCTTTCCCAAACGCCGCATCCTCGAAGCGGCGCTTGCCGGCGTCGACGCCCATCATGTCCAGTAGAGCACCCATCTTGGTCGGCATGACCGGCTGCAGGAGGATGCCGGCGGAGCGGACGGCTTCCGATGCGTAGTAGATGACCTCATGCTTCGCAGCCTGGACCTCGGGATCCGTCGAGTTTGCCAGCTTCCACGGTTCCGCGGCAGAGATGTACTTGTTTGCCTGGAAACATTCAGTTAGCACGGATCATGCATATCGAACTCGATGCGTGTTTGTCGTACCTCGGAAAGAACGTGGAGAACGCTCCGAATGGCGGCGTTGGGGTTCAGGTCGTCCATGTGCTTCGACATGGCCGGCGCCATCTCCTCAATCAACGCCTTCAAGCCCTGGCTGGCCTCTACCTTGTAACTTGTCGACCCAACACTCTCCGCCGCCCACGCCACCGAGTCTCTGAGCTTCCACTTCTTGCTCTTGGCGACCCGGTTCATCAGGTTCCCCACAGTCGACTGCAGATCCTTCTGATACCTCGCGACGACCAGCGCGTTCTCGTAGTCGGCGTCCTTCTCAATGCCGCCATCACGCATCATAAAATACCGCATCGTGTCCAGCCCCCACCGGTCGATCGCGAAGAAGGGGTTGACCACGTTGCCCAGCGATTTGGACATCTTCTTCTTCCCCAGCGTCCAGTGCGCGTGGCTGAGCAGCTGCTTCGGCAGCGGCAGGTCGAGCGCCATCAGCAGCGCCGGCCAGTACACCCCATGAAACCGCACAATATCCTTGCCAATGACCTGCACGTCCGCCGGCCACCCGCCCTCGTGCTCGCGGCCCGGCCGCCAGCGCGGGAAGCCCGCCTTGGTGATGTAGTTGATGAGCGCGTCGACCCAGACGTAAATTGTCTGCGTCGGGTCGTCCGGCACGCGCACGCCCCAGTCCAGCCTCTGCACCGGCCGCGAGATGGACAGGTCCTCGAGGTTATTCGACACCCATGCGACGACCTCCTTCTGCCGCGCCCGCGGCACAATCCAGTCCGGGTTTGCTTCGTAGAACGCGAGCAACTTTTCCTTGAGCGCCGTCATGCGGAAGTGGTAATTCTTCTCCTCGATCCACTCGACCTCGTTCCCGGACTCGACGGCTGCCATGATAGTCCTCCCCGTCTGCGGCTCCACCCTTCGCTCGATCTCGTTGGCGCCGTAAAAGCACTCGTCGCTGACGCAGTACCACCCTTCGTGTTTGGACTCGTAAATGTACCCCTTTTCCTTGAGCAGGTGCCAAAAGTGCTGCACCGCCTCCTTGTGGTCCTGGTCTGTCGTGCGGATGAAGTGGTCGTTGGCCATACCAATGGCCTTTGTCAGGTCCCGGAACTTCTCGGCCGTCGTGTCGCAGAACTCCTTTGCCGGCACTCCTTGCTTCGCCGCCGCCTGCTGAACCTTGGAGCCATGCTCGTCCGTTCCGGTACAGAGGATCGCGGTCCGGCCCTTGAGGACTTGCCAGCGCTTCAGGACATCTGCCAGGAGCATCGAGTACATGTGGCCGACGTGCGGCGCTGCGAGAGGGTCAATAGATTAGCTTGGCTTGAGTCTAACGACGTGGTGCCCGGGGATTGTACATACATGCATTGACGTAGAAGATGGGTGTTGTCACGTAGTATGGCTTGTCGCCCTTGCTGTCGGAGCTCGCGAAACGGCGTCGCGATGTCTGCCCATGGGTGCAAGAGGGGCAGACCCAGGGCGATCGCATCCCCGGAACATGGCGGCGGCTACGAAATGCCGAAGCTGTGGATAATCTCGCTGGCCTCATTGAACCTGTGTTTGTCGAGTCTACCGCTGGAGGAGCATGCTGTCGACAGCTGGATTGGCAAAGTTGCGTGATGATTTGAGCTCCGGCATGTACCATCAAATGTTCCTCACTCCCGATGCACCGTACGGATTGTGTCGAGCGATAACGGCCCAGAGCTCTTATCGGTGCACAATCCCTGTCTGCCCCGCCAAACTTCTTCCCGAGTCCTTTCAACCTGTGTTGCGACAACATCGCCGAGTAGACAATACTACAACACACCACATTTTTTATTTCCACTACACTGCGATCGTACGCGGATAGAATACAGTCAAAATGTCTCTCCCCTCTCGCGAAACAGAAATGAGGGCCTCGGCCGACGGTACTGCCACCATCCTCCAACTCCCCCACCAATCTCCTTGCCAAGACTAACACACCATTCCTAGCGGCCTCCAACTTTGCAGACGCCTACTACGAAGCCCTCAACCGCCGCAAGCCCCAAGGCACCCTCAAAAACTTCTACACGACAACCTGCTCCAAATACCCCTCTCCGCCCGACATCTCCATCAACGGCGCCGTCCTCCAGGGCGGGCCTGACGAGTACGTCTCCCTGCTCGACACCCAGGGCCAGGACGTACACTACGAGATCGAGTCGCTCGACGCCCACGTGGTCAACAGCGACTTTTCCCTGGGTTGCCCCGAGCACCTGCAGAGGGGCGACGAGAAGGGCGCAAAATGCAGCATCATGGCTCAGGTTACGGGGCGGGTCTACTACGGCCGGGGCCGCGACGCGCCCGCAAAGACGTTCAACGAGGTGTTTGTGCTGGTGCCGAATTGGGATACGTTTGGCAAGAACCCACCAAGGGGCGCGCGGCGGTGGTTAATTATGAGCCAGAACTTTCGCGCGCTGTGAAGGAGATGGAAAGATGATTTTTTTAGCTTCGGAAAGGAATAGCGGGTGCGACATGACGAGCGACATTTGCAAGCGCTGGCTCCTCCCTTATACCACAATGATGAGAGGTGAGTTCGCCTGGACATCTGCTTCGTTTCGCCTACTGACTCGTCTGCAGATTGGGTAACGAGCCTTTGGGGGTGACGTGGGCCTAAAGCAGCAAGCCTCTTATGACAGCCTGATAGAATACATAGACTTGGGCGGGGAAGCGTCAGTCAGGTCATTAGTTCCACAGGCAGTTGTATGTGCATGATGAAGGGTGTCTCGATTTATAGAAATAACAGAGACTCTGATAGCAATGACAGGCCAATTGGTAACAACCACACTCTCACGCCCCAAGCTGCTGCTTGCGGTACTTCCAGTATCCCGCCCTCACAGGATCCCACTTGGCCGCAAGCCGGTCGAGGTACTTGGACGCCTCCTCCTTCTGCCCCTTCTCCGCCAACACCTCAGCCAAGAAATCGAGCGCGTGGCTGCTGCGCACCTCCTCCTCATCCTCTCCCTCGCCCACATTCTTGACAAACTGCCCCGCAAACGCCTCGACCGTCTCGAGCTTGCGCCCGCCCTTGACCAGCACGCCGCGCAGGTAATTCCACGCCGCCTGGTTCTGCGGCGCCAGCAGCGTCTTCTCCTCGACGTACCTGATCTCGCGGTCGATGACATCGGCGGGCACCTTGGGATCGTGCTCCGTCGCGTGCGAGCCCGCAGTCGACTTGGCTGCGTCGTTAAAGACGAGGAAGAAGCGGTGCGACCACGCCGAGTTGTTGCGCACGTCCTCTTCGATCCAATTCTGCGTCGACAGCAGCTCCTGCAGGTTCCACAGCCCCAGCTTGCGCACAAGGTACTGCCGGTAGCTCCAGACGTGGTAATTCTTGGTGTCCTCCTCGAGCATGCGCGTGAGGAACTCGGTCTCGGACCGGGCGAAGCGCTTCACCTCGTCCGGCGTCGCCTTTATGCTCTCGTAGTAGTGGTCCAGCAGCAGCTGGCGGTGGTGCCAGATCTGGTAATTCTTGATGTGCTCGAGCGAAACCTCGTTGAGCCACTCGATTTCGTCGACGAGGGGGATCTCGAGGGCCTGGACGATTTTGAAACGGTAAAGCCAGACGGTGTAGTGTGCCGGGTTCATGGAGATGACGTGCTCTGTGAGTCGGAGGCATCGCGGGCTGTATTCCTCGGCCACCATGACGGCGCGGAGATAGCTCATGACTGGAGGACACACGGTGTCAGTGGAAAACGAGGCTCTCCCCGGAAATGCACCAGCAGCTTGCAGCCAAACTTGCAGACACACATACACACACACAAAGTGAGAGAGAGATGTGAATTATTTACCCTCTGCGTAGTCCTCCGGATAAGCAATCGTAGCCAGCGCGCCCTCGGGCTCCTCGGCGGGAATGGGCACGACGTCGTCCCACTCTGGGTCTGTGGCGTAGGGTCCCATCTTGTCGCCGTAAAGCTCCTTCCTGATGGCCGACATCTCCCGCCGTCTCTGCGTCTCCTCCTGAATATCGTGTCGCGAAATCTCCTCGACCTTGCCCGTGGTGGCATCCGCGACTCCGGCCTTGGCAAACTCCCTCCGCTGGAGGAACCTTCGGTGCAGGATCTCGAGCGCGGTGAGCTGCGCTTGCTTGGCGGCGCGCGCGGCAAACTGCTCGAGCGAGTACTCGCCCACGTCGCGGCCGTTCTTGTCCTTGCCCCAGTCGTAGACGACGGCGGCGGCGCCGTTTTCCGTCTTTTGCCGGTGGAGGCGGCGGATGGGCGGGCTCTCGCGGTTGACCTGCTTCCAGAACTCGCGCTCCGCCTTGTTGTTGAGGCAGATCTCCTTGCTCGCGACGCGGCGTACAAGGCTCGCGTTAACCCAGGCCTGTCGCTCCGCGGGGGTCAAGCTGTGCAGTCCTCCGGCCTCCTCTCGCTTTCGCTCGTGCGGGTTCGTCTGGTAGAAGCGGTGGAGGGAGCGCTCGTTGACCGTCTTTGGTGGTTCTTGGGCTTGGGCTTGAGCGGCGGGTGGTGTTTGCTTGCCTGTGTCAGGAGGGCTTAAGTCAGCATACGGGAGGAGGAAAGCTCGGCACCAGAGGTAGTGAGCGACGAGGAGGGTCCAGAGGGAGCTGTATGACCCGATAACAAGGGAAACAGCCGATGCCAACATACTCTTGCTCTCAGCTTCCTTGGACTTGGAGCTGACCTTGGATTTGGCGGGCATGTCTGCGGTTGGCTTGGTTTATGGCGGGGGTGAGCCGGCAGCGAGATCAGACTGCCTTGACCCGTGGAAAATGCTCTCCAACGACCACTACCCCACCACGGGAAGCCCTTGGACGAACGATAAAACGCTCGGGATTTCTTGGCCCAAGACAAAACTTTGGAACACGCCGAGGTCCAAGACAATCGCAACTGAGGATGCATCACTCTGGCGGCAGTGTCAATCAAGAGGTCGCTTACGTATTCAATCAACGAAGCATTAATTTTAGCACCGCAAGGTGGACTTCTAAGCTCTCAGCGCCGATTAAAATAGATACATGAAGCCGCAACCAAGCGTTCCCTTCTCCTCCTCATATTATCATGTCGTATGGCAAATAACCCAATGTAGCCAAGAAATCTTCTCAGCTTTGAGCCCTGGCACAGCCGGTTGAAAAAAGATTGTGTTGAAGCAGATTGAAGCTTGTCGCACTCTCGTCAGTGACTCTCAACCCGCCAGAACTTCCAGCCCTCTCGCTCGCCTACGCCCCCGTGAACACCCACCAGCTTCTCGACGCCCTCGTTGCCGTCGGCGTTGAGGAAACTCTCTTGGTCGATTTCCATGCCTCCTTCATTATCTTCGTCCATTCCGTTCTTGAGGACTGCGGGCCAGAGCACGCCAACGCCGTCACCGCCGAGGGTTGTCTCAAACTTTTCGTAGCCTTCTTCTTCCAGCTGAGTCTCCAGCCGTCCGAGCTTGTCCTTGGGCACGTCAGGTTTCAGCAGAGTGATGGAGCAACCGCCGCCGCCCGCGCCGGTCAGCTTCGTCCATCCAATGCCTTCGTGATCCACCAACTCTCTTATACGCTCAAGACGCGGGTGGGACACTCCCAAAGAGACCAGCAATCCGTGGTTGATAGTCATCAGCTCTCCCACCTTTCGCAGACTTTCTTCCTCCTCGTTGTCGAAGTTGTCATTTCCGATCAGAGTGTCTGCTGCAACCGTAACCTTGTCGATGGCGTCCAGAATGCTGCCGACAAGCTCCGGATGCGTCTTCTTCAGCTTGCCGACCTTGGCTACTTCAAAGGCCGTCGACTTTGCCTGTTTCGTATCGACGAGGAGAAGGGGGAGCTCAGGGAAGTCCCAGAGCGGTCGCACGGCCGGGGGCTTGCTGTAATTTGTCCGCTGGAAAACCACTGCCTTACCCTGAGTCGCTACGGTGTTGTCCACCCCCGAAGGATTGCCATGTATGCACATCTCGCACACAAATGCCCACCTGTTGATTCTCTCCACCTGCAACCTGGCCTCGTCAGGGGGCTGATCTGGGTGTGGGCCCGACAATGTGCGCAACTGCAGGAGAAGAGCCGCCGCCAGACAGACGGCGATGGACGCGCTGCTGCCAAGACCGGCGCCGATGGGGATCGTTGATCGTAGAGTGTAGAGGCATCCTGTAAAAGATTGGTGGCCCAGCGATAGGAAGATGTACAAGAAGGCCGAGGCCGAATTTTGGTGCACTTTTCGCACTTCGTCAGATTTGTGTGGTGATACTTCTGCGAGATTTGGCTGGATAGCTGCGACTAGGTCCGGGTCAAGCTCTGTCACTAGGTCATAGTAGGACTTCTTTTTTGAGGGGTGCTGGAAGGTCGCCCACGGCAGGTCGTCGATATTCCATGTGTGTTGCAGGTCGATATCTGGGAAGCGGAGCGAGACTGTTCTCCTCGACTTGGAGAGAGAGGTCACGAGGAGGTATGATCGCAACGAGATGGCGGCGGCGATGGCGGCCTGTTGGACCGGCATGGGTCAGTACATGGTTGGCGCCATGTTGATGCAGGGGAAAAGGAGGTTTTGCGCCGGAACGTACCTTGCCGTGAACTACAGCGTGCTCTCCAAAGACAATGACTTTTCCCGGTGCAGAAACCATGAAAGCAGGCATCATGGGAGTAGACTGCTTGCGTTCCATTTTGAGACGATGTGCCAAGTTGCTGTTGCCGTTTACATAGGCGGCGGGGGGTATGCCATTGATGGCAATGCTGTCGGCCCCGTTTCTCGTTTCTGGAGCAAAGACAGCCATGTGACGCGTTGCTCGTTGGTGCAGTCGGATTGAAGCGTGGTCGATGTGAAGAGCAGAAGGAGAGTCGTTATTATCGTGCAGCTGTCAGAGAGCCGTGCTAGAGGCACCACATAACCCGACTGTCAGGGTCGTCTGGGGGTGTCGAATGGGTGGTGATTTGAGGGGTCAATCGGTGGGTGCTGGCGCTAGCAGAGCGAATCGAGGCAAATGCTGCAAGATGGGTCGTGATGGAAGGCTGGAGGAGGTGGGCGGGTGCCGGCGCAAGTGGTGGAGAGAGAGTGAGGGTGGTGAAGCAGGAAAAAGGTGTTGGGAGAGAGCGAGAGAAGAGAGGCAGAAGCGGAAGCGGGTGACGATCAGCGGCGCGTGAGAGAAGAGAAGACAGGAGCAAACCGAGTAGCTGTGGTCAGGCGAGTTGGTAATACAATAATACAAGCAGTTTTATTAGAGGATGAGAGGATGGGACGCTGAATTCAGTTAGGCAATTTAGCTTTCCCAGGTTCCGGGGGGTGGATGGGGTTGCGCTGGAGCTTGACATGGACATGGACAAGGAGACGGTGATGACGGGTCACGGAGCGAGGAACTGGGTCCCTAACAAGGAAAGACGATGAGAAAAAGGGTAAGGCCAGTAGCGTGCCTAACTCACCCACACAGTACTACCTTGAGGTGGTCTTCGCGATGTATGGTGTGGCAGGAGTACTTGCAAGAGAACTGCACGGATATCCTCAAAGACGGAGGGGCAGACGTGCTTGCCGTCTCCTCCGTCTCTTCGTAACGGGCAGGAATGAGAGGAACCGTATCGCAAGTGAGACTTGATTTAGATGCCATGCGGGCGAACGGGGGTCCCAGTCTGGGGGTGGAATGTTTCCAGTCCCGTGCCGGTTGTCCAGCCACAAGAAAACCTTTGGAAGCTGCAAGCTCGATGGAACTTGTGGAAGCCCTTTGGTACGCTGCAGGTCTTGTTGGGACTTGGGACGAAACGCGAGTCCGGAGAAGCACGATGATGTCCTCGAAATGCACTCGCTAGCCTCACACAGTAAGGGCCACCTTATGCTGCCGTAGGGCGCCTGACCATGGATGACGATGTTGCCTTGCCAGTCATACACTCATTACGCTCACTTGTAAAGTTGTAATCAACGGATAATAATTCACAGCCAACGGACACGTCCGACATGGTCCTTTTCCCAGTTGCCAGGTACCGTGCCTCGCCAGGCTCGCCTGTACCTTGCTTTCCTGTGGCACCTCCCCGTGCCAACACCACTCCTTGGGCTGCCTGCCCATTGGCTCGCTCTTCCTGTCCCCTGATGATGTTCCCGGCCTGGTGGGCAGTTTCCCGGCAAGCACCCGATTGTGTTAACAGGGGTCGCTGCAGCTAAGGGAGGGCGACCATCGATAGCGACCTGCCTCTTCCCTTGGCTATTATGTGGTAAAGGTACTTCGTACATGGCACGCAGCATTGGGAAAAGTACCTCACACAGTACCTCTCTTGCACAGCCCTGATGGTGGGGGATCTCACTTGCACACCTCAAGTTGGGCGACAGGAACCTTTGACAGCGCCACCTACAGCGCCCAGCTGCTCGAGACTGACGTTTCGCATGCGAAGCTGACTGCTGAGAGCTCTCGAGCCATCTCACTGGTCCTGGATATCAGCTTCGTCGACCCCTCTTTCGAAAGTCAGATTAGATGCTGACTGGCTGCGTGATACTTCTTTTGCCTGGAAACGTAGTTTCTCCTTTTGAAGCCGTCTGAAACAAGTCTCTCGATTCAATCTCATCAGTTCCAGTCTAACAAACACCACACTGCAAATAGAACAACGCAAACATTTCGCATCACTAGGCAACAGCTTCGGGAGACCGAAACGCATCCTAGCCACCGTCGAGGAGCTGGCCTGTGGTGAGCTACGGCGTGGCTTCGAGCTTACGACGGCAGTTATTGGGCAAGGATAGGCCAGAAATGCCAGAAAGCCGGTCCGCCTATCTGATGACGACTCCAGATCGCCAGCGATGTCGCTATTGGTGTGATCAAGCTTCGTTTCGTCTGATGCCTCTATTCGTACGAGGGAGGGGCTGTGGTAGCACTGGTCTGCTTCAAGGTAGCACTGGTCTGCTTCAAGGGCGTCCGCTTGGGCAATGTACCCCGGCCATGAGCCTCTGAACAACGTGGGCAGTCCGATGCGACCAACAGCACCGATCATGGACTCGATATGCGTTCACGCAACCAATGACTGAAGCTTCCACCGCGGATGCCACAGAGAAAGAATCCAGGCTCGAGGCAGTGGTGCAATACAGCAGTCCTGATTTTCAATGAAAGGGAGAGCAGCCGCAACAAGACACGGGATTCCGTCACACGAAGCCTTCCTGTCTCTCTATTCGTGACAACTCCACCTTTTGACAGCTCCGTGTCTCGGGTGGGAAAACGGTATGCATCGCCGCAGCACAACGAGGCTTGGGTAGGTCATCTCGATACCAGCCCGCGTTGTTCCAATCGCTCTCTGAGAAACGCAGCGGCCGTGCGCTGGAACGCCGTTTTTCCCATCAGACATTCATTATTGCCGGCAGGCAATAGGCGCCAGGGATGGGCACAGGTTGCGGAACCCACGGAGGTTGGCTTATCGATACCTTGCCGTTCGGTCCCTCGCCGGGGACTCAGGAGCTTCCAGCTCGACGATCGAGGCGCAGACTGCGCAGTGCATTTGCGGGTCTGTCTCCTCACCTGAGGAGACTTGTCGATGACGATAGCCAGAAACAAGCAAACGCTTGGCAGGAACAGATGTCGGCGATGAGTCCCGTCGGATTCTTGGCTTGCCAGTGCTTCAAGCGCATATTTCGAATGTAGCAGCCGCAACTCACAGAGAAATATGGCAGGGAATATCACCACTGCGGATGGCCTCGCCGCGCGTAACGCAACATCCTGAGGATCGCATGCGGGTATAAGAATAGCCTGTCTGCGATTGTCCGCTTTGAGGTATCTTGGGCTACTAAAATGAGGCTGACTGACAATTTTACCTCATTCGAGTCCATCCTAGGTGGAAGCTTGCCCGCAGCAAGCTTCGAGATGCCGACTTTGCCAGTCCTTGTCTACTTCAACGGGCCGTGTGAGCCGATTCCTTGGTATTGCGACTTAGCTCGAGCAACGGATTGCAATCTTGCGTTGGACTGTGAACGACTTGGAACCTTCAAGTGCCACAAAGAGGGAGAAAGTATAATCCACAGGGGAAAGCTCACTACTGCAACGGCGGGGTAATCGTCCAGCCAAATCATAGCATTGAGGGGACGAACAAGCTTGCTTGGCCTCTCCAGACGGAAGAACAATGCATATCAGCTTAGGCTGGCACACATTTGAGCCTATCACTAAGCTATCGGCTCCTGCACTAGGTAGCCTAGGACCGTCGCGTCTGTGCCGCAACTTGCCGGGCGTCAGCGTCACTCGTCCTGCATCGATATCGTCCTGCAGCCTCGCTGCCCCGCCATGTGGGCTTCGCACTCCATAATCTCCTCGGGTGCTCCGATCCTGGCGTGAGCGAATAGAAAATACAACATCTTTACCAAGGCCTGATATTCTTCCCGAGACATCATCTCGAGCAGAGAGAGGTCCCCCCCTATTTCTCTGTATTCATTCAAGCTCGAAAGTACCCTTGTCCTATCCCCGGCCCGCACCGACCCCCGCGCGAGGAGCTTCCCGCTGACCCCGCGAACCCCGGAATTGCCGTCTTCAACTCGAGGTCTCAATCTCCATAATCCTAGCCCTATTCGCTCGCCGTCACAAACAGCAAGCTCACACAATGGCCGTGACGGAGTTCGCCCTCCTTCAGTTCAAGGAACCCCTCACTGAAGAGCTCAAGGAGCTCATGGACTACTGCCAGACCGTCCAGGACACCTGGGTCCTGCGCCAGAAGCCCGGCCTGCCGCCGACCCGGATAGACCGCGGTACTGCCATCCTCCAGCAGGTCGAGGACCCGAGCGTGATCCTCCTGGCGGCGCAGTGGGACTCGCCGCAAGCACACGGGGAGTGGATCGCGTCGCCCGAGAACCAGAACGTCATGGCCAAGCTGACGCCGCATATTCACTTTGAGGGCCCACGGAGCGTGCTATTTTTCCACGTCGACGCGCCCGTCTTTGCAAAGCCCACCTCGGCGCAGGCGGCACCGTCAGAGACTGCGGGAGGTGCCGCGGGAGCAGAGACTGAGTCCAAGGACAAGGAACCGGAAGCGCCGGCACCCGAGGAAGAGAGCAAAGCAGAGAGTAAGAAGAAGGCGCAAGACGAGCCGCCCTCCCTCCTGACGGCGCCGGTGCTCAGCGTTGGGCGATTCGGGGTGCGAGCGGAGCGGAAGGAGGAGTTTGTCAAGAAATATGCCGAGGCCAAATGGGTCGTCGAGGAGTCGTCGAAGCCGTTCCCCGTCCGCGGCGGCTGGAGAATCGAAAAGGCCGCCGAGGACCTCGAGGAGTTTGTCATGTACTGCGGCTGGGACACCGTGGAGCAGCACAAGGCAATTGCACAGCATGAGGGCTTCAAGGAGTGGGCTGGCATTCAGGAGTTCGTGACGGGGACGGACATTTGGCACTACCAGCGGATCATGTGAGGTGCCTACTGAGGCACACGCCTGGCGTTGAGGAGGTACATCACCTCGGGAATGGTACGAGTCTTGTCTGGTTTGCAAGAGGGGAGCATAGCCGTCAGGGAAAGAAGGGTACGATTAGTGGCAGTCTTTGTTTGTTCAGTGGTCTCTTCATTGGCGGAAGTTGTTTGACTAGCAACGATGTTGACAGTCTCCATCTAATCTCGCAATTGCCTAGGATATCCCTCGACGCCATATATGTGGTGACACGGTTTGTGTCTCCCGTTCCATACAATCTCTTCCGAGAAGGACAAAAGAACGAGAGAACAACACTGCGCTCCAAATTTTCATTTTTCCCCCAATGGACCAACCGGCCAATGGCCCCACGAAACAAAGAACCGAGGGGGGAACAAAAGAAGATTTCATTCCATTGACCTCATGACAGGCTACTCATGCGTTTTCCTTCCTCTCTCCCATCGAGCTAGTTTTTGACGATTTTTTCGAAGTTTGGCGGAGATCCCTTACGCGGAGGACTTGCCCTTGGGGTTCTTCTTGGGGACGTCCTTGATCTGGAGCTCTTTAGAGTATATGGCGATTAGCATCAAGTTCCCCTATTCGCAAAACTTTTGACGTTCCAGTTTTCTGCACTTCTCTCTCTTCCCCTGCGAACGGGGAGTCCGCAAAAAGAGAAGAGCACAGGAAACAAGAGACTGCGCCAAAAGCTGGATTGAGAAAACGTGACAATACGTACGAGGGGGGAGGGACTGCTTGAGCTTCTCGGCCTTGTCGGAGTCCTTGAGGACGAGGGTGTACAGGTGGCGCTGGCAGCGGACCTTGAACTTGATCTGGGAGTTCTTGGTGCTCTTCTTGATGCGAGCGGCTATAATGGGGACACACACACACACGTTAGAAATGCCGTCCTTTTTCTAGTTTGTTCCATATTTCTCCAAATCTCGAGGTTTCATTCATTCGTACGAACGAACAAGTTCGCTTTTTCTCGTCGAGCCTGGTTCGGGTGGTCATAGTGGTAGGGGGTGGGCTATTTCAGCATACAGGAAGCGTCCTTTCTCCGGGCAATCTCAATGAACTACAGCGACAGCAATTGTTAGTCGAGTTTCCTAGAGAAAATTCCGAGGAACAGCAATTCAATGTTTCCAACGCTTCCAGCGACGTACCTGCTTGATATCACCGATTTCGCGAGGCATCTTGGCGGTATTTTTCGGGGGGATTGGCGACAACGAGGAGGGGGTCTGGTCTGGTCGGATTGAGTGGTTGCTGTCGTGAGACTTTCGTGGGCTTTTTTGGATGGAAAATTGATTTTGTGGGATGGACCCCTGGCAGCGACAGAACGCACGGGCCATTTCCAGTTTCCAGCCGGCAAGAGACAGTTGCATCTCGCGAGGTTCAACCTTATCTTATCGGGGTGGGCTGCAACTGGGTCGTTGACCCCGTCGGGGGATTTGTCACCGACCACACCGATGGCCGATGGAGTGGGGTCGGGCCCCGTCGGGTCACCCCCATCCACGGATGCCTCCCCACAGTGTCTGCGTGTGCCACAGGCAGAAGCAACACCTCTTCAGAGGGGACGTCACTGTGGCACGCGTCACCCCTGAAGCTCTCGGGCAGACGTGGCGCTGGACACCTCGGCCTGTATCTTGGCGTGGGTTGACGACGCTTCTACTTTATCCAGCTTGTACGAACACGTTGCATAACACGTTGCCAAAAGAGGTCCCCGTTGCTCTTGTCCGTTACTGGTATTTATACGGCGCCTTGTTTCCCATTGTCAGAAACCTGAGGTTCTGGCCATCTGTTGCACGAGACACTCGGCCATTGCACCGCCACATTTAGACACGATGCCTACACCACTAGACAATGCCATGAGATCCAGGGTTGGTAGTTTCTAGTACGCTTGCATTTGATCACTCCTGCTGACAACTCGTACAGAATGCGGTACTTGGTGAGCATCGGAGTGCTACTTCTAGCTAGAGAAGGGACCGCTGACCATCACCACAGCATTCGGTGGCTTAGTCACAGCCGTGGCTGTGTGGGCCATCTACGGCGGCGACATGTTCCCCGCGGGACCAGATCCCACAGGCAACCCTGAAGACTGGACCAGGGAGGAGATGAGAAGATGGCTCGCGGCGGTATTTGCAGCACTTGTTTCCGTCTCAGTCATTCTTTACTTACGTGTATAATAGCGAAACCTGTTCCCACAAGACAACGATACGAGGGAGGAATTGCTGGCTAGAGTGTTGGCCAACATGAGAGCCCCGAGACGGTGAGCCCTGGAAGTTGGCTCTGCTGGAGGAAACGTGGCAAATTGAACGACCTTTGTTGAAGGTTTGGAAAGTTTATTCCATTTGCTTCCTCGATGGAGGAATCACCATCCCGTCGTTCATTAGGTCGCCGAGTAGTATTACAAAGATTTGATGGAGCTTGGGCCCCGATAATGCTTGTGAAGAAACAAGCACTCTATTCATTCAAACCCTCACAACTCATCTCTTCCTGAGGTCTTGCCGACGGTTGGTTCCTCCTGTGTGACCTTGCCCGTGGATTTCCAGTTGAGCGCATTGAGACGCTCCGACAAGTGCGGGTGAGAGAAGTGGTAGGTCGCGTACATCCAGTCGGCGTCCATAGAGCTGAGGTTCTGGATCTGAAGCTTGAGGAGGGATCTAGCGAGCTCCGCCGAGTATCCGAGCTTCTGAGCAAAGGCGTCCGCCTGGAATTCGTACTTGCGGCTCAAAATGTTCATAAGCAGCTTGACCACAGTATCCATGGGGGAAAGCGCATCGGAGAAGAGGATGAAGCCTATGATGATGGGATGCTCCTTGAGGAAACCAAAGTCGGCGTACAGGGAGTTATTGCTGATGAAGACGGAAAAGAGAGCAAAGATGTAGAGGAAGTGGGCCTATTGTGTGGTTAGTAGCTGAACGCGGGACGTCGGTTCACCGCAGAAACGTACCTGAGAGATGCCAAAGAGACGCGTGGTGTGGCCGAGACTCCAGTGGCCAAGCTCGTGGGCCAAGACGGCAACAACCTCCTGCGTCTCGCTCTTCTCGATGAGGGTGTCATAGATGACAATGTGCTTCTTCCAGGGGAGACCAAAGAAGTAGGCGTTGCTGTGGGCGCTTCGCTTGCTTCCGTCAATGACATAGAGCTCGTGGAGGGGAAAGTTCAGGCTCTTGGCGAGGCTCTCGACGCCGTTCTTCAAGTCGCCCTCTTCCAAAGGCGACAGCTTGTTGAACAGGGGCAGGATGGCGACCGGATAGATGGTGATCATGAAGACTTGCAGGCCAGCGGCGAACGCCCAAAGGTAGAAGAAGAATTGATTGCCCGTCTTCTTCACAATGGAGAGGAAACCGGCGAGAATCGGGGGAGCGATAATGAAGGCGAGCAGCTGGGACTTGATCATGTCGGTGATGAAGAGCTTGGGCGTTTGCTTGTTGAAGCCAAACTTCTCCTCCAGCACAAAGGTCTGGTAGATGGAGGTGGGCAGCGAGAGGACCTGTTGGATCATGATGAAGGCGAGGACGAAGACGATGGACTGGGATATCTCGCCGGTGAAGCGCGCCGGCGCGAACTTCAGCAGCAGGTTACCGGACCATGACCAGAGCTTGGGGAGGACGTCGAATTGGATAAAAGCAATGTTCTGGATCTGACCCCAGAGACCGCTGATGAAACCGAATTCCGCTTTGGCGCGACCGTAGGCTTGAGACTTGTCGAAAACTTCCTGGGAGACTTCCTGTTCGAGGACCTTGGGGGGCTTGGTGTTCTTGAGGACCTGGTACTGGCGCAGCGAGAGTAGACTCTCGAAGACGAATTGGCCGACGGAGAAGCCGAGGATGAGACGCTTCCATGGGAAGAGGGGTCGGTCCAAGAACCGCGCGAGGCGTTGAAGGAAATCCATTTTTGCCTCTCTTCACTTTTCTTCGGATTCCGGAGGGGTTGCAAAGGAGGGACAGGAATGGAGATGTTGGGATTGAAGCGGGAAAGAAGCAGGGCTAGGCTCCGGACCTTGTCGCAAGCTGGCTGGGTCTGGCAGCTTAGCTCATGCAAGCTGTCCACAGTGAGCCGGCGAACCAAGTGGGGGAACAATGGTGCGGGTTCGGGGCTTGCGGCTGCCGGCAGGGTCGATCATTGGCTACGAGCATGCCAGCTTACCCCAACTTTAATTGGCTGAAACACCCGCCTCATGCAATGTCTAACGTGCAGACGAAGCCTCGTCCGAACGGCCGAACCCCGTTTGGTGCATGACCTGCGGGAACATCCGTCGAGTCGCAGGAAAGTCTTCCGCGAAATCTCGAGCCGGCGATAGCGATATACCGAGCTTCACGCCGCTCGACGACCACCACACAATTGTCGCCAAGATGATGCGCCAACCCATTACGAGCCTGGCGAAGGGCTTCCTCTCCCGCCCGACCACTCAGCCGGTTCGCGTCATCACTCAGTCGCTCTCACAAAGGTGAACCCCAACTCCCTCAGAGGCTGAAGAGCAAGCACCTGACCGATACCTGCACAGGACGTTCTCCTCCTTCCCCTCGTTGCGTCCGTCCATCACACCTCTCACATCCGCCTTCCGCCGGCCGAATGCCACGCCGTTCACTCCCTCGACCGCCGACGGCGCCGCCGACTTGGTCCCCACGAGCGCCATCACAGAGCACCCTGCCCTAGGCGCAATGCAGCTTCGCTGCGGTCCTCGCAACACCATGAACCGAAACACTCGCCTGATTCAGAAGCGCAGACATGGCTTCGTTTCCCGCATGAAGACCAAGGACGGACGCAAGATTATTGCCCGAAGGCGCCAGAAGGGCCGCACCAAGCTCGGTGTCTGATTTTGGGGTGGGAGCAGAGATGCTACGAGCACCGTTCAAGGAGAAGAAGCCATCGCCGCAGATCGGGGACAGGAAGACCCGATCGTCAAAAGAAAAGTTCTTATCGAATGTTGGGCCAGTATTGAGGGATGGTGTAGCCGAGCTTGGCTCAAAGAAAGACTCAAACATTAGGGCCTCCGAGTGAGGTAGTGTGCAATATGTATCAATATGAAACCAGTGTATAACAATTCCCCAGTGGGTGTCACATCATCGACCGTTGAGTTCTGCGGTAGCAGCCGGCAAGGGGCTATGAGGTTGGTTGCTGGCATCTGCGACGTTGTGCGGGTTTGCTCCATGCACGGAAAGTCGTCGTTTTGTCCCTTGGTTTCGAAAGCGGCAGGCGTCCATTGAGGCCAACCCCGAGCTGTGGTTCTCAGTGCTTAGGACAAACAGCTAAGTGTTCTTGCCATGAGATGCGCTCAACCGCATGCTCTTGACCACGACGGATGTGCAGCAAACACGGGTATTTGGGTCTGTCCATTCCACCATCTCAGATGATGAGCTCTTGGACTCCCTGGTGTACACTTCTCCCTCACACTTCCCAGCGTCTACTCAGAAACAACATTTCATGTGATGTACCTCCTCCAAGATATCCCTGTCAAGTGTTCCGAGGGATGAAAGGGTGAAAGTTGATGAATGCCGGTGCTGCCCCGAATCAAGCCAGACCTTTTTATTTCCGCAAAACTACCTTGGCCATCTCACGAGCTTTCCCGGACCTGTCTATCAGACTTTTAAAAGTCTTCTTGAGGTCTGCCGAATGACTTCTGGCTGTATCAGGGGAACACTGAGAAAAAGGAACCAGACGTTATCTTGACCTATTCACATGATTCGACGCGGTCAGGGATGCGGGATTCACGGGGCAAATCAACATTTTGTCATATTCAGCTCAACGCGTTCTGCGTGCGTCCGGTGGTAAAAGAAAAGAACTCCTTGCTGGAGCTCCCAACTTTTGGCATTCCATAGTGGCATAGAGGTCTCTGCCTCCGCCTCCGCCTCTACATCTGCCGGTGACGACCGTGATAACCACCTCTGGTCTGCCAAGAGCACCAGCTGGTCGGCCGTCTCAGCGCCGCGTAACGCTGACCATGACTACAAAGCGGTCTTTGACGAGGTTGAATATGCGTTCGAGTACATAGTCAGTTGTCCTTTTGAAAACAGGCACGGCAATGACTCGGACGATAACGAGAATAACGGATATGAGGACGAAGACCACGAGGAGCTGAGCGAGCTCAGAGACAAAACGAAAGTCGAGGAGGACGAGAACAACGGCAAAGGCAAGGGCGAGACCAAGAATACAGATGACGAGGACGAGGACGATGACCTCAGAGTCGTCGAGAAGCAGCCCACGCCCAAGTGCGACAGCGACAAGACGTGCCTCTGCGCGAAGCCCGCCGCCGAGCAACCGGGCGTCCCCTACGTGATCACCAAGGCCGGCTTCTATAAGCTCGTGAACCAGCAGATCCACTGCCAGGTTCGCGCCCCTGACAGCTTCGACATGTCCGCGTACAACGACCACAGCGCCTTCGGCACGCTGCAGGTCCTCCTGGACCTCGTTTTCAATTACGAGGAGGTCAAGGGGAACTGGCGGGAGCAGTGTGTTATCTGTGAGGCGATGTGTCCCTTTATCTGGTACCTCTCCGGCGGCGACTTTACCATCTACATTACGGGACATGGAGTGTCCTCTTTCTTCTTCATCGGGATGCGGTCAGTTACAACTGACCAAACAACGCAAAGGGCTGACGGCGGCGGGTTATGCGACCAGACGGCAAAGCTCATTAGCAACCTCTTCCTCGCCTTTCTCGCCCGCCTCGAGTGCGAAGGCATCATGACGGGCATGATTAAAGCCGTCAACAGCTTCCGCGACTTTCTCCTCGCGGACGAGGTAATAACGTACAAAGTGTCCTGGAAGCGGCCTTTCCCTTTTATAGCCAACGACTGTGACAGCTACGTCGCCTCGTACGCCAAGAAGCACGGCATCACCCTGAAAGGCGTGCCCCATCTCAAGGCCCTTCTCGAGAATATCGACGACGACGAGGGGGACCCTTGGGGCTGGGCGGCTGCTTCGGCGGCATACAAGTCGGGTGGGTAGATTAGCGGGGATGATCTTGAAATGACGTCGTAGTTGAGCGCGGACCGGGAAAAGTATGCTTTCAATAAGGAGGATACGCTGGGGAAGAAGACGGGGATTGATGCCACTACCTTAGGAAGGGTATGGTCATGATGCTTGGCTAGGGTTGGTTGAACTCCTCGTATTGCATTTCTCGCAGGTCTGGGAACCGCTTTGTGACTGTAGTAGCGAGAGAGATACCACCTGTATTACTAGACTGAGATACTTGCCTGATCGAAGCCGAAAGATTGACAGCTAAGCTCCATCCAATGCACCGTCAACGCCGCTGCTCGAGAAAACTTGATGTCCATATGTTTGTAAGCAGTTGACACCGACAAACCAACCCCTGGCACATCACTTGATATTAAAGAGAGTTAAGAAAGATACGCCATGCCCAGAAGAAGATATCAAACAGGACTAGCCAAACCACCCTCGCACGTCTTGGTGTCCGTATAGCACGCCAAAAACAGCTTATCACTCGCCTCCCCGACCCAAATCTTGTACCGCCCCGCGGGATTCGGCACAACCCAATTCTGGCTGACGACGTCCCAAACACTCAGATCCCGCCTCGTCAGCTGCAACGTCACGGTAGTAATCTCCCCAGGCGCCAGGTTCTTCGTCTTGGCAAAGTCGCGCAGCTGAATCACCGGCGTCTCGGGCCCGCCGCCGGGGAACTGCACGTACGCCTGCGCGGAGGCCTTACCCGAGTACTTGGTGCCCGTGTTCGTCACACTGACCGACAGGGAAAATACAACGTCAAAGAGAGCCGGGTTCCCGCCCTGGGCGCCGCCGGCGGGGGGTCCCGGTTTCTGGGTCGTGCTGTACCCCTCCGGGTACGGGTACGTCTCGGTCTTGGAGGCGGCGACGGCGTCCTTGGCCTCGGACTCTGTGCACCAGGAGTAGATGTATCGGAAGATCTTGTTGAACCCCGCAGGCACAACGCCCTCGGTCCAGTCGGGAATGGGGGCGGTATAGGTCAGGATGCCCTGCTTCGCCGGGCGGGCCGGCGGAGAAGCGCTCAGGGGCGTCACGGAGCTGATGGTCGCGCCGGCGTAGGAGAAGGCAGTGTAGCTCAGCCCGTGGCCGAAGGCGAAGCGCGGCTTGATGCCGTTTTTGTTGAGGTAGCGGTAGTCGATGTAGAGGCCCTCGGAGAAGGTGTCTTGGGGTTGGCCGAGGGAGCCGCCGACAAGCTGGGTCACAGATGCCGGGAGGTCAGACTCTTGGTGTGTCATGCTGTAGGGGAGGTGGCCGGATGGGGAAGCTACACCAAAGACGACGTTGGCGAGGGACTCGCCCGCCTCCTGGCCGGGGAGATGGGCGACCAGGACGGACTTTACGCTGGGAAGGTCGATCCACGCGTCTACGAGGATCGGCCCGACGGAGTGAATGACAACCACGACATTTTGATACTTTGCAGCGGCGTCCTGGACCAGCTTGTTGCCGTTGTGCCAGGCGTCAAGACCGGACGCGCTGCGGTCTCCGTTGTTGCCTTCTACAACGTACGAATTCTCCCCAGAATCTGAGGTGATGAACACAAACGCTACGTCATCCGCGGTCGGGGCCGGCACCGATGGGAAGGAGTCGGTGTTGTAGTACGTCACGTTGCTGGCTCTCTTCTTGAAAGCAGTGATGGGATCGTCCAAGTAAACGTAGTCAACCGTTCCCGAGCCCCAGCCAATGCCGAGCAGGCCCTTGTTGCAGGATCGATCGGCACAAGCGTTTGGACCGTCAGGGTTCGTCTGGGCGTCGGTGCCAAAGACTTTGATCGACGCCGATGTGGCGATGGGCAAGAGACTGCCGTTGTTCTTGAGCAGTGTGATGGCCTCCTGCGCGATCTGCCTGGCCACGAGGTAGTGGTCCTCCTGGACCTGGACCATCTCGTTGACGACACCGCTGGGAGAAAAGGGGAAGGCTGCCGGGTAGAAATCTCCCACCCGGTTGCGAGTTCCCGTGGCGAAGTTGAGAGCAGGAAAGCCCTGGTCCTGGCCCATCTGGTACCAGCTCGCCAGAACTCTGGTGGCCATATCGTTGATCCGATCCACGGGGACGGATCCGTTCAGCACCGCCCTCGTGAGGTCGTACATCCAGTAGCTGTAGCCCGTCAGAGGAACTTGCTGGTCGCCTGGGGCGTTGAAGTCCAGACCTGCGAGGGCGGAGCCGACGCCGGACATGTGCGACAACCAGTCGCTCATGACGAAGCCTTGAAATCCGAGCTCATCTTTCAGAATGCCGTTAATGAGGTAGCTGTTCTGGCTGCATGCCGAACCGTTGACCTGTTTGTGTCAGCATGCTTCTCATCAATATGTCCAAAATACATACCGCGTTGTAGGCCGTCATCACGGAACCTACGCCAGCGTGTATACCATCCGCAAAAGGCCACAGGTACAGCTCATGTAGCGTTCGGTCATCTTTCATTGTTAGTCAACGGACCAAGTACCGTCCTTTTTGACCATGGCTTACCAATGTTGGAACTGTAGCCCTGCTGTAGAGGGTTGTACATGCGATACATCTCCTGTTCGTTACCTATGAGATGCTTGATCGTGGCGATGACGCCCTGCTCCTGGACGCCCTTGATCGTCAGGGCAACAGCCTTACCCTGCAGCGCAGGATCGACCCCGAAGCCCTCCCAGTTTCGACCGCCTCGGGGCTTTCGACTGGTGGTATGGTTAGCTTGCCTGGCCGACGTGATCAGATATACTTCATCGAGGTTGGAACAAACCCTATGGGGCCCACGCTCGGTCCCAAGTAGACATTGGCGCCTTTGCCTCGGAACTCCTTGCCTATGGCAACACCGCGAGCGTACATCAAGTCCTTGTCAAAGGTGGCGCCCGTCGTAATTCCGGACGGGAACACCGTCACGTTGTCGGCTTGACGGAGGCCGTGTGCCGAGTCTGCGAGGCATAGCTGAGGGAATCCGACACGGAGAGCGCTGCCAGAGTTTCCTACGCAACGGCTTGGATATGGTTAGCATGAGTTGATCATGTTCGTGGCAACGATTGTACCCTGGACGTGTTAGTCGAACAAGTTTCACGACATCGCCCACAACTCGAGACTCACCCATGTAGATTCCAGTTCCGGAGGTGATGTTGGTCTTTTCAGCCAGCGTCATTGTATCGACCACGGCTTTCGCTCTTCTGTAGCTGTCTGTCCAGTCCGAGGCCCAGCCGCCGTACGGCGCTGGATAGTAGGGCGCGGCGACATATCCGGCAGGTACATCGGATCTCACTGATATCACGGCGCCGTCGCTAGACGAGACCTGACTGGCGAGGATGGTTATGGCTAGGGACTTGATAGAGAATGTGCTCGCCATGGCGGGGGTTTGATTCGTCTCGTTACCGCAAGGCTACTGCAGGCTTGGCTTGAACCAATGGTATAGGTCACGAAAGAGCTAAGTCAAGACAAGCGGACGAACAAGAGCTACAGAGACTACGGGCGTCGCGAGCACCACCACAATCTTATATACTACGCATGGGAAGCCTGACCTACTAGTGGTAGTTCTCACCTCTCATGATGGCTACCTATACACTCCAATCACGGGCTCATTAAGCCCGCGTGGTATAGAAGCCAAGTGACAACAGACGAGGCGCTTAGCAGCTCCATGGACTCTAGTGACTGCAGGGATGCAGCCATACCTGACGGCTCATGATGCCCTGATAGCTACCGGAAGGGTCCAAGAGCATTAGCAAAGAGGAAATATTGCAACAAATCAAGGTTGTGTGGTGCTCCCTTTGGACAGCTGGGCTGGTCTGTTCGAGCCTATGCTTGTCAAATAAGAGTGTTAGAGTGGCCGATCGACATGTCGCGTAGACAAAATGTGGTTTGCTACGACAGCGCCAGCGATAAGTCAGTGGAAGGCGGGGAAAATGGCACCCTGACGAGATTCTATAACCTGTACTGTGGTCTGGTGGTTAGCTGGTATGGAATCGGTGTCGTACCAGATTGGCAACCGAGACCGCCTCGCCTCAGACGGGAGTTGGTGGGTGGGAACCTGGGACTTGGAGTTAAGCGACGGCATTCGCAAGTCCCCGGGAAAAGTGACAGTTCTGAGTCGGGCTTTCTGCGCGGGCGTTGACTCCGGTTGAGAGGAGCGGTGGATATCACAAGATTAAGCCGTGAAGAAGACCCACGACCGAGGCCCAAAAGGCCCAAAAGGCCCAAAAGGTCGAAGAGACGGCGATGAGGACCGCAACTGTCAATATATCCGATCAGAGGTGACATGCAAAATGGATGTAAAGATCTCCCTTCTAGGTTGTTACGTGCAGGGTGGGCGCTTGGTGGAAATGCGGCAATGCCTGGCGAGCTGCGACCGGCCAGTAAACTGTCAAAGACTGCTCGTCCGGCTCGGCTCCGACGCGGGGGGAGCTGTCAGATAAGGGCCGGGCGGTGCGGTGCATTGCGCGCGTAGGTCACTGGCAGGCCGCAGACGTTGATTTCCTTGAATAGGTGCATATGCAGCATGCAAATGGGTGTGTGCGCCGTTAGAATGGTGGTACAGAACTGCCCTCGTGATACCCAAGAAGCCTCTGTTGTGTCCACCATATCGGGTCTAGGGCGTAGTTGAGATTGGGAATCGCGCAAGTGAAGAGGAGTGATGCGACAAGCTGACAATGCGCATCCCCTGTTAACCTGGGAGAACCGTGCACGATAATACGTGCTCAAGTGACAGTGGAGTCTTTGGCCTAAATAGGGTTCATAGATAGGGTGGGTTAGAGTACGAGAAGTAGCATACGGAATGGATGTATAAATAATCTGGGACGGGCCTACTGTCACTTGAGCTGGGCACCTACCAGTTGGGGTGTGTAGACTCGTCGGAAATCCCAACCTCGGCCCAGCGGCGAGGATTGAGGAACAGGGAGCAGCAGGGAGCAGGGGACAGGGATGACAGAGCACAGATTCCGGCTCATGTTCTGCACGGGAAAACAGTATTCCATCAAACGACATGGACCGTGGAAGCGGCACGGCATGAACGGCAACCTTGGGGTGAAGAATAACGACGCCAAATGTCGGTTCGAAGAAGGGAAGTTGGCAGCTGAATGAGATGTGTGGTTGTGTCCGATGTGTCGTAGCTGATGGCTGCAACGTCGCTGGGAGCCCGTGGGAGGGAGGCATCGAGGTTGTATCGAACCAAGAAATCAAGAGACGGAGGAGGGCTACGAGGAGGTCTCGTGAGCGCGCGGATTCCGCAGTGGCAGCCTGTGCTCTTTCTAGAATGTCTCAACCCCGCGTTGCTGCGTCGACATCTGATCAACAGGTACCAGAAGGAAGAAGAGACAAACCGACGATAACTGGTGGACGGTGGACGGAGCTTGGAGGTTGGAGGTCGGCACAGCATGTGCTGTCAGAGCGAAGGAAGCTGCACCTGCCGCACAGAGACGCCAACCAATTGAAGCTGCGAGGTTCAGCTCTACTACCATAGTAAGCAGCAGGAACCAGGGGGAACTATCAGGAACCAGCAGAACGTAACCCAGGCGCCTTCATCCCACCTCCATCTCACCTTTGGTCACTTTTGTGTTGCATCTGCCACCCATCTCAGCTGCATCTTCCCGTCTTCAATCACATCCACATGTCTTCCTTCTTCGCAAACTCTTTGCCAATGAAACTCTTGGTTGAACCCGGTACCTGACGCTGGCCACTCAGGCGCGATGCTTTGGAGCCTTAACTGCTCTGCTCGTCCGAGCTCCATTCTCGAATAGGAGAGACGGACCATGACAGTCGTCCGCGTGAGGCCTCGAAAGCGGCACTCCACCTTCGAGGGCTGCGTATCACCGCACAAAAATCCCAAAGGTTTAAATGTCAACAGGGCTTTCGACTTACGACTTTTCAATACTGATGGGAAAAATCGAACCCGCACCAGACCACATTGTAGCATTTTGTTGGGCTCTTGCGGGCCTCGTCCAGGGAGCTGGTCCGGGGGCCCGCGGCCTTCTTCCAGAGACGGCCGACCGCAATGGACCACCAGTTCGTTTGGACAAGGACTAGTCGGCCAGTTTCAATATCAACTTCTTCCTATTCGGACGCAATTGTTTCGACAGAGCCCAACAGAAGTGGGAATTATCCATCACCACCCTGGCCCGGTGCCGTTCAGGAACATATCCACTCAGTCGCCACCGTTCAATGAGCGGCAAGCCCACTATGGGGATGCTTGGCTCACGTGGCGTCAAATGGCACCCCAGGATCTCAGAATTATTGAGCAGAAACTCTCATTGCTTGTCTCCCCGACAGCCCGACTCTCGTCAAATCTCCCTCCGCCTCTGTCTCCAAATCTCTTCATTGCCTTTGCCCTCTGTCTGATCGCACGGGCGCTTCCTCACCACCTTGACGGCCCATCACACGCCCACGTGGATACTGGTTCAAGACCAGTTTCCAACTCTATCACTTGCGGTTGCTACTAATCATTCGAACCACTGACGGCCACCGATACTTGGCTATATCGGCCTGGGCCAGGTCTTGGTCTTGCCCCTTCGCCTGACGAGGCCATCTAGTGACCAAAGCTGTCTATCCCGCGCTCCCCCCCCGGTCAGGACCTCTCGAACTTGGCCCCCCTGCCAATGGATTATGGAACCGCCTTCTCCAAGAACGCATCTCTTCTCGTTCACAACTGGCGCTTCTAGTGCCGATTTCCGCCGCTCTGTGCCTGGCGAGATTCCTCTAAGATGCGGAGGAACTGCCAGAAACCGCAAAGTCTTGCGTATTGCTTGCTCCAGCGCGAGAAGTCTCACCCTGGTTCGCATATCCCCAATATCGAGATGGGACGCTGCCGTCCCACAATCTGTCCCGAGCAATGAAAGCTTAAGCTGGAAGGTGGCGGACACTCACCGCAAAGCTTACAGCGGACCGTTTGTCTGGGTGTACGACTCGTTGTTGATCCACTGGCCCCTGTACCCTGGTGCTTTTGTTCGTTATGTATAAGAAGTCGCTGCAGCGTGAGAACGACAGTCTACCCGGACTCTCTGTTTGTTGTGTCCTACGAGCAAGTCCTCGAATCCCATTCTTGTTCCTGTTGTCTTTCGTTTCTCTGTCTGCCGTCATCATGTTGGCCAAACTGTCTCTTCTCCCTCTGCTGTCTGCCGCAGTCACGGCGTCTCCCCTTCTCGATGCCAGGGCCCCGGTGGCTACACTCGACGAGAGAGCCGTGACGGTAACGAGCACTGACCTGACCAACTTTGAGTACTACGTTCAGGTAGGACACGGACTGACTTCTGACTTGGACGCGCGTGCTAACATGTAACATAGATGGTGGCAGCAACCTCTTGCAACAGCGAGGCCGCTGCTGGTGCATTAATCACCTGCGGCGCCAACGCTTGCCCCGATGTCGAGGCCAACCGGGGACAGATTGTGGGAACCTTTTCGTAAGTTTATCAAACAACTCTTACTTCTAGCCTGGCTAACATACTTCCAGCGGACTCGTTTCTGGCCTTGAAGGCTTCGTCGCCACGGATCCCGTGAGAAAGAACATTGTTATTGCCATACGCGGCTCCAGCAACGTCCGCAACTGGATCACCAACCTCCTCTTCGGCTTTGACGACTGCGACTTTGTCGACGACTGCAAGGTCCACACCGGCTTCGCCAATGGCTTGGACGAGATCAGGGACTCTCTGCTGGCGTCCGTCAAGTCCGCAAAGGCCGCCAACCCCAGCTACACCATCATCGCAACCGGCCACTCCCTCGGCGGTGCCGTCGTCACCATCGCCGCCGCCGAACTCCGTCGGGACGGCTACCCTGTTGATATCTACACCTACGGCAGCCCCCGCGTCGGTAACCATGCCTTCGTCAACTTCGTCACCAACCAGCCCGGCGCCGAGTACCGCGTTACCCACGTCGATGACCCCGTCCCCCGCCTGCCCCCGATCCTCTTCGACTACCAACACACTAGCCCCGAGTACTGGCTCTCGACTGGAGGCGCTACCACTATCAACTATGGCATCAACGACATCAAGGTCTGCGAGGGCCCCACCAACACAAAGTGCAACGGCGGCACCTTTGGTCTCGACGTCGACGCCCACCTGTACTACTTCCGCAAGACCGGCGCCTGCAACACCGACGGCTTCGGGCTCCGCGAGAGAGAGGAGGACATCTCGGACGATGACCTCTCTGCGCGCCTGACGGCTTGGGCGCAGCAGGATCTCGAGTACGCTGAGACGCTGCAGTCTTAGGAGGACGACGGGCAGTCGTATACACGAAAAGAGACAAAATATCATGACCAAGTTATGAAGGCAGGGAAGCCGGGTTTGTGGGGTTTTTGGGGGAAGCATCATCAAAATGATACCATTAAGGGATAATCCATGCCCTCGTGGCGGCGAGATGTCATTTGAATATTCAGGCACATAATTGTATAGTACATAATCCATGCCATTTGTCAGCTTGGCGTTGACAATGCGAGTTTTCCTCGAAGAGCCATGAACCCAATGATGAGATGTCGGCCGTCACGAGTGGTGAAAAGGGCCGTCCGTATCAGAATTCACAAATAGCCACCACCCCCACGGACGGACGGACACCCGGGTCCGAACGCGACAGGCCTGTCGTCGACTGACTCGCATCCAAGACCGCGCAATCCCAATCGAGCGAGCCGTATCCAAATTGAGCTTCCTTTTACGGCAGCTGAATGTTTCGTTCCCCGTAACAAGAGAGGCATGGCGTTGGTCCATGGGAACGCCTGTGTTACGTGTATATTGGCACTCGGCCATTCGGGCGAGGACACGGATAGAGTTTCCCGCAACGAACCATTTCTTTCACCTGAAGCAGTGGGGATAGGATGTCGTCTTTGGATGCCTAGTTCCCAACCCGGCAACCACGTGCGGAATTTGCGGATCATGAGATGATTACATTGCTGACCAGTCCAATTAATTTGTCACTCACGTTGCAACTAGAGGAGCCATTGATATCTACTATCTGAACCTAATGTCCAGAGAAAGTTTCCTTGAGCAACAAAAGAGTTACGCAGCCGAAGCCGAGAGTCTCTCTACCGTAGGTAATGGGTCATAAACATACATGGGAAAATGCGTTCTTGCCGTGAACGCGGGCCACCTTGCCATTTACAAATCGAAAAGGGGTATAGGAAGAGACAACGACGCACGCCCGACTCCAAATGATTGGGGCTGGGTACCAGATCCCATGTTCACATCCTTTCGTGTGTCCTCAACGCCGCCCTGGAAAACCTTAGAAATCCACTTTTTGTGGGAAAATACATGATGAAAAGAATCGCTGACCAGCAAAATCTAAGATCCGCGGAAGAGGAACTGCATGTCCTCGGGGCTCAGAGACTCCATGGCCTTGTCGTCAGCGTTGACGGTGGAGTTGATCATGTTGGTCTTCTTCTCCTGGATCAGCACCATTCGGCTCTCGACCGAGTCCTCGATGCAGAGGCGGGTAATGGTGCACGGGCGGGTTTGACCAATGCGATGGCAACGATCGGCGGACTGCCACTCTGCGGCAGGGTTCCACCAACTGCATTGCATGGTTAGCCAAAACTGGAACACGATCAACTGAGACGCGGGTGACTTACGGGTCAACGATGAAGACGCGAGACGCCTCCGTGAGGTTGAGAGCGACACCACCGGCCTTGAGAGAGACGAGGAAGCACTCGCACTCGGTCTTGGTCATGAAGTGGTTGATGGACGCCTGGCGCTGCGCAGGGCTCATGCTGCCGTCCAGCATGACGGTGGAGATGCCGGCGCGACGAAGACGCCACTCGATCAGCTGAAGCATGGACGAGAACTGCGAAAAGATGATGGACTTGTGCGAAGCATTGTCAGAACGAAGCTTGTGAAGCTCATGGACGAGAAGCTCAATCTTGGAGGAAGAAGTCCACTCATCCATCTTGATTCGATTGATAATCGACGACTTCTTGACGTCGGCCTCGTTCTGCTCGATCTCGGGCTGCTCCAAGTCGATGGCCAGGTTGATGTGGCAGTGAGGGCAGTCTGGCTGATCGGAAGACAGAAGGTAGCTTCTAGCACAGGCGCGGCAGAAATCGTGCTTGCAGCGGCTCTTGATGGCATCCTCAGCCGGCTCGTCGCAGACGCAGCAAATGAGCGTATTCTGACCACCCTCTCCGTTCTTGCGAAGGATCAGATCGGGATGATCGGCGACCTGGCGCATCTGCATGATGAGACCAAAGATGTTGGCGTAGTTGTTGAGCAAGACACCCTGGGCGACGTACGTCTCAAACTTGCGCTGGCCGTTGGTCATGATGCTGTTGGCAAAGTCATTCTCCGCTTCACCAAAGAACTGACGATCGACGTAAATCTCCTTGACGGGAAGCTCCATGGAGTTGGTGTGGTCCTTCTTGAGGCGACGGAGCATGATGCGATCAGTCATCAGACGGAGCTTGCGGAAAGCCTCGCGACCCTCTCCAAAGTTGCCAAACTTCTGGATAGGGTTGAGGAGCTCCTGATTGAAGACGGACACGTGCTGCATACCGGCGTGTCCACACGTGTGGCATCGGTGGTCGTCGTCGAGATTCCAATCCAGGCCGGCACAGGGGCACTGCTTGCACAAGTACGAAGCGAAAGGCTTGACTTGAAGGAAGCGGATCAGGGAGAAGAACTCGCCAATGCGGTTCTGAAGCGGAGTGCCGGTAAGGCACCAGCGGTACGAGGTCTTGAGAGCAAAGCAGGCCTTGGCAGTCATGGTGGTACGAGTCTTGATGCTGTGAGCCTCGTCGAGGATGATCCGGTGGAAGTCGATCTGGTGGATCAAACTCTTCTCCTTGTAGATGCCGTCCTTGCGGGTGAAGCCCTTCTCTTGCTTTCGGTACATGGACTCCAGACTGTTGTAGGACATCATGATGACGTCGAACTTCTTGAGCTCCTTCAGGGTCATCTGCTTGGTCTTGACCAGCGTACCATGATAGACAAAGGTCTTGAGGGTGCCGTCGGTGTAGGAAGCAATCTCTTCCTTCCACTGCATCAAAGCAACCGGTGGAACCAGGACAAGAGAGGGCTGCTTCTGGGGAAAGTCGGACATGACCAGAGATACCGCCTGGATGGTCTTGCCGAGACCCATCTCGTCACCCAAAAGTCCGCCTTTGTAGTCCGTCTTCTCCATCTCAATCATCCAAGCGACACCCTCAAGCTGGAAGGGCTTGAGCTGACGCGAGATCTGCTGCGGTTGGGCAATCTTGTCAGGTCTGAGGGCCGGAGAAGCCTCCAAGGCCTGCCACATGGTGAGAAGCTCAGGGTGATTGTTCTCCAACCTAGCGCGTTCAAGCATGCCACGGCGCTTGGAGCCACGTTGGTACGCGCGGCGACCACGGGACTGTGCCGCAACGGCGTTCTGGAGGCCGCCGTCACTATCGGCCGCGTCGGAGGAACCCGAGTCATCAAAGTCGCCGCTAGAGAGGCTTGACAAATCATCGTCCTCATCATCCGGAAGCTGGTAGTTCGCAGGCAGTCGAGGCGATACCGCAGTTCCTTGAGGCATGGTCGAAGCGGAAGCTCTAGTTCGCCTGACAGGCATCTTGGCCTTGGTCTTCTCCTTCTTCGGGATCTTGTTGCTATCACTGTCCTCAAGCTCGGAGAAGTTGGCCGAAAGACCATCGTCGTCGTTATCCATCGGGTCTGCGAATTCATCCTCATCATCCGACTCGACTGCCATGCTCTTCTGCTTCTTCGCAGGTCGCTGCAGAGAAGCGGCGCTCTTGGAGGGTCTACCTCGGCCCCGACCACTGGGCTTGGATCGAGAAACAAGCGGAACGTCCTCTGAATCGTCACCGTCCTCGATTGCGGCCTTGGCAGCAGCTGCGGTAGCACGACGACCACGACCAGTGGCGAGGGGGACATCAGAGTCCTCCATCTCGTACTCTTCATTCTGGAGACGTCGGGCAAGGTCAGCATCAGACAGTCGGGTAGAGGCGGCGGATTTCTGATTCTCTTGCTTCTGGAGGCGGCGAGCAACCATGGCATCGCGGTCGGTGTCAGAGGGCTCCTCATCCTCATCATCGTCGTAGTAGCCGCCTCCAACCTTGCGCTTGATCGGCTGCATAGAATACTGGCTCCGACGCAGAGCACGCTCACTAGAGAGGGCACCAGAGGTGGGAAGCTGGATCTCAATATTGGATGCAGACTGGCGGTTCCTCAAAGCAGGAGCATTTGTGATGCCAGAGCCAGAGACTGAGGGAGCAGGTGTGGCGACATTGCTGGTCGCAGGAGTGGAGCCTTCGCTGGCAGAAGTGAGTTCGGCAGATGCAGCAGCGGAAACAATTGAAGAAGCCGAGTCGTTGGCAAGCGAGGCTCTGCTGGGTCGGCCTCGACCCCTCTTGACAGCCGAAGGGGCTGAAGTCACAGGTTGAGCTGCAGCTGCAAGGTTACGGCTCGAAGCAGATCTAGTGAGACGGCCATGACTAGCAACAGAGAGAGGGTCGGGCGAGTCTGTCAAATGTGTTAGTTTTCACTCAATTTTATTTTTCGCACACAATCACCCATAAGTTGATGGTGATGGGATGTGAACATTGGGGGAAAATAAAAATTGATGACTTACTGGTTCGAGTGAAAGCCAGACTTTCTCTCTCAGCAAGAGAAGGGCGACCACGGCGGCCAGTCATCTTGACGTTGATTTGACCTTCTGGTGCAGGGAGGTGAATTGGCTGTGGTAGCGACCTTGGGATTGAGAGAAAAATGAGGATTGTCTGTGTTTTCGCACAGAGGTGAAGGATTGATGTCGAATGAGGTGACAAGAAAGTTGGGATGGACGGGACAAAGCTCGGCAAGTGGCGAACGGTCTCAGCTTATCGCCGAAGACGCTTGTAGACTGTGCACCAAGGGTGGTGGATTGGGGTATCTTGGTAGTGAGGGAGGGGAAAGAAGGATTGCAGACCAGAGCAAAAGTCGCAGTCCGAGGGTTGGTGATGTGAGAAAGGAAAAGAGAAAAAGGCAAGTGGTGGTGAAGAGGGCCAAGGAAAGACAATTGAGCTTGCCACTGGCGACTCCTTTTTTGGAAAGACAAGCTGAGAAGGACCACCTCACCTCAGAAAGGAAGACTGGGAAGGAGGGGGGCTAGAGGACCAAAGACGCGCCCTTGGATGGCGGGCTCTTCACACGAAGTCACGTGGTCTCTTTATTCGGGATAGGAAGACGCCCGAACGCAGGGGCGACTGCCTAGAAGCCAATCTGGAAATGGAAATGGAAATGGAAGATTTTGGTTAGCTGGGGTCCATAGGCGCTTCAAATGCTGGTGTGAAAATGCGCCGACACTTCGATGATGCACATGAGGCACCTTCAATCGCATGCTGGGGACCCAACCAGCTTATCTAAATACCCTGACAAAGGGCATGCTCCCCTGGATGAAATAGGAAAAGGGTTTAAACCCCCTGGCAGTTAAAACTGTCCTCAGAAATAGTTTCATCCGCCAGGGGAACACATATCAACATTGAGATGGCAGCACTTGATGCAGAGGCAAGTGGTCGATCTCCATGTCCCTGGAGCTCCAGTGTGACGATTCGACTTGGGCGATCGATCTGCTCCCCGACGTCTCCGGTGCAGTGGCTCCTTCCCACCTCGAGCTGGGCATACTACCTAGGTATTAAGGTAGGTACCCCACGACTGTGGCCCCACTTCAATTAAACCCCTGCTGCCTGCTCTAATACACGCCTAAGGTGCCTGGGTCTTCCTTCACCCACATCTTTCACTTCACACGGTGCATTATCACCATTCGCCTCAATTCTACCCACTGATCTCAACAGGTTGGCGATCGCCAGTACAGTGTGCCACAAACTTCACTCTCCAACACCTGGTCTGGGCGTCTGTATCCAGGAACCAAAGGTCGTCGGAAAAGAGGCTACTTCCCTTTGCACCTTTGTCGCCTCCTTTCAATTTGCCCCCAGACCAGCTCATCACGACATCGCCATTGTCAAAATTGGCTTTCTGATTTTCATCCAGTCTTTCGCACTTGCCCTTTCACCAGAAGGTCTGTAGAGACTGCGCCCCAACTCAACTTTTCAATTTCACAACAAGACGTCGTAGGCCGCCGTCCCTACTCCTTCGGCTAGTCTATTATTCGGACGCATTTGCCACACCTCTCCGGAAGGCTTCTCTCAGTCAACCCTAGCTCTAACCCAAGGATAGGCCTGGAATTTCATCACAACCGCCATCAACTTCAAAATAGGATACCTGGCTCATCAGAATCGACTCATTCAACACTGCCCACAGAGACCAGAAATACCCCATCGCCACCATGGTGAGACCGTCTCGTCGAGCCCAGGCTCAGGCTCAAGGCCAGAACCAGAACCAGACTCCCCAGCTAGGTCAAACTGCTCCTCAGAATCAGGCCCAAGGCACCAACCGTCCTGGCCGCCACATCTCTGGACCGTGAGTTTTCCGCCAACAATGCGTATCTTATCACTGACATGGTTCTAGACAATCGGCTTTGACTGACTACCTTGCTGTAAGATTACTGAATGAGCCGGTCCCCAAATGTGCAGACTGACAAAGTGCTTTCACAGGCCCACAACATCTCTGCAAACCAGATTCGTCGGGATGCTGACCAGCGCCGTGCTGCTGCTGCCGCCCAGAACCAAGCAAATGATGACAATGGCGATGAGGATGATGAGGTCGGCGGCCCCTCAACAGAGCCTGCTGAGACTGCCCAGTCTAGCCGCAATGAGACCACAGCTGAGAGGGAGAAGCGTAAGAAGAAGGAGCAAATGGCCATCGCCAAGATCAAGGCCTCCAAGGCCTTCAAGAAGCGGAAGCGCAACGCCGTGGATTCTGAAGACGAGGACGACATAGCACGCGCCCTACTCGATCAGATGGCTCAACCCTTGCCAGGCCAGATGGATAACTGCGCCATTTGCAAGAAGCGCTTCACCGTCACCGCCTACTCGCTGAGCGGTCCCGAGGGCGGTCTGCTCTGCGCGCAGTGCAGCAAGGAGGAGGCTGCCAAGAAGGGCAAGGGCAAGCAGAAGCCTCGCAAATCCGTTGGCGGCCAGGGCAAGCGCCGCAAGGTCCAGAGCAATATCCTCGACGGCACGTACCAGACCGGCGCCAAGAACTTGACCAGTCTCTGCATCGAGACCCTGGCCAAGAACGTCGACCTCGCCGACAGCTTGGGCGATCTGCCGGACAAAGTGGTGGACAAGATTGCGCGACTCTTCTCCAAGCGTCGACTGCTCAATCCGGAGACTCTGCCACTGTTCGTGCAGCCGTCGACTACGGTCCTTCACATCTACGACGGTGCCAAGCTGGGCTCCAACGAATTCGAGAGCATTTTTCAGACGGCACCTAACCTCAAGAGATTCAAGGCTCGCAACTCTATCCAGTTCAAGGATGAGGTCATGGACTATCTTCTGAGCCGCGATATCAAGCTTACGCACTTCAACCTTCACGGCGCCAACCTTCTCAGTGACGAGAGCTGGTTCAAGTTCGTCAAACAGAAGGGTGCGCATCTGGAAGGCATCCAAGTCTACTACACGGACAAGCACGTTGGAGACGAGCTGCTCGTCCTCCTCCCAGAGCACTGTCCCAACCTGAATCGCCTCAAGGTCTACCACAACCAAAAGGTCACCAACGTTGGCGTCAAGGCAATCGCCAACGTCAAGTCCCTGAAGCACCTCGGCCTTCACCTGCAGCACGATATCACCCCCAAGAGCCTGTCCCACATGATCCTCGGCGTCGGAAAGGACCTCGAGACGCTTTCACTGAGAAAGATGCCCACCGCCAACGACGAGGTGTTGACTGCCATTAAGAACACCTGCCGCTCTTTGAACAAGTTCCGCATTACCGACAGCGAGCACATGACGGACGAAGGCTTCGCCGACCTCTTCAGCGACTGGGAGAATCCCGGTATCGAGATCATGGACCTGCAAAAGTGCCGACACCGCGACTCGACCAAGCCTCGCGAAAACGAGGACGGCATTGGTCTCTGCTCCGACGGATTCCGCGCCCTAATGAAGCATTCCGGCAAGAAGCTCAAGAATCTCAATATCCACGCGTGTCGTCACATCAAGCGAGAGGCATTCGAGGATGCCTTTTCTACCGCAGACCAGTACCGTAACCTCGTCAAGCTCGAGATCAGCTTCATCGAGGATGTGGATGACTTCGTTCTGGGACTCATCTTCCGAAGCTGTCCCAACATTCGCGAGATCAACGTCTTTGGCTGCATGAAGGTCAAGGATGCTCGGGTCCCGAGAGGCAAGGTCTTGGTTGGTGTTCCAAATGCCATGGGAATGGTCATCGAAGGTCGTGAGGATTAAGGGGGATAATGCTCTCGGCCACAGCTTTGTGAAGAACGCTGGAAGTGCGGAGGTTTTGGCAGATGTTCTTTGGCCGAGATACAAACGTGATGGTCTTTGGCAACCAGCCAGGCTATCCTTCCCTGTCAGGTCGAGGATTGGCGTTCATGGTGGAACTTCTGGTGTAGGGTTTGGCTGTCTTGGTAGCCGTATTGCTCATTTGAAAGGAAAGGATCGACTGGCACTGTATTTGCACTGAGGTAGGCAGTTAACTAGCATTACATGGTCAAATTCATCACGAGGATTTTCAATGTGATGTTGAGATTGTGAGATGTTTCTCGGATCAATTCGATATGCACGTCGGCGCGGACCAAAGCAAACGGCCCACTGACTCCTGCGGATCACGGCCGGGAATTGGGGCCAGGACGGGGACGAGAAAACCGCCACAGCCTGCGGCAGAGCGGAGTGGGGCGAGCCCGGCTCAGCCTCAGGTCCCTGCGTAAGACGGCGGCGGGAGGGAACGCTCACAGGCTGGATGCGCCAGCAGGTGGCCTTACATTCCACAAATCCACAGGGCAGTCTATCCACCCGAGTCCCCTGCTTTGCCTCTACTCTAGTAACCTCCCCCTGACTATCCGTATTCCAGACAGAGGTAGGCCTGTTGAGCCCAACGCAGCATTTCGCGGGCCCTGTTTCGTGGCCATCGACCAGCAATTCTTCCGTCCCTGACCGCCATGATCCTTTCCCCTGCTTAGCTGCTTCTTTCTCTTTTACTGCGTGTGCTAGTGAATGGATGGATATCGCTCGTTCACAACCTCCCTCCGGAAACATGTCTCGTCGCTGGGCGCGAAAGCTTGAACGCTGCTGTTGCACATTCGCGACCTACATCCCTCTGCTCTTCGTCTATGGCTTGACGACCTGGGCCGTCTGGGTGGATGTCACCATTGGGTCCGCGCCCTCCAAAGCCTCGTGGCTCGGTAAGTAGCAGCCTGGTCCGCCGATGATGACCGCTACCCGGTTCTAACGATGCATCCATCGCAGGCTCCGCGTCTTCCGCCGGCGCTCTCCTCCTCTACGGCCTTCTCAACTGGTCCTACACTACCGCCGTCTTCACGAGCCCGGGGAGCACGACAAACGATAATGGCTACAGCACATTACCCACCGAGGCGCCCCCGGCCGCCACCTCTTTCACCGTCAAGTCCAACGGCGAGCTCCGATTCTGCAAGAAGTGCCAGGCGAGGAAACCGGACCGGGCCCATCACTGCTCAACCTGCCGCCGCTGCGTTCTGAAAATGGACCACCACTGCCCTTGGCTGGCGACTTGCATCGGCTTGAAGAACCACAAGGCCTTCCTGCTGTTCCTGATATACACGACGCTATTCTGCTTCTACAGCTTCTTTGTCTCCGGCAGCTGGGTGTACACGGAGGTCATCAACAACACGACATACGTTGAGACGCTGATGCCCATCAACTATGTTATACTCAGCGTCATCGCCGGCATCATCGGCATCGTTGTGGGTGCCTTCACGGGATGGCACATCTTGCTTGCGAGTCGGGGCCAGACGACGATTGAGTGCTTGGAAAAGACGCGTTATCTGTCGCCGTTGAAGAAGCAAATGAAGCACCAATTCGTCGCCCAGCACAACGGCGAGGGTATCCCCTTGCCCGCATACGGCCAACAGCTCCTCGACATCCATGCGAACGCCCTCCCGGGTATCACGCGACCCGAAGAAGGCGAAGAATACCGGGGTCAGCCGGGCGGCTCGAGGCCGACGCACCAGTCGTACGAAGAGATGGAACGCGAGCGGGCAAAGAAGCGCTACGAAGAGTACCTCGACGAGCAGGACTCTGAGAAGCTCCCCAACGCATTCGACCTCGGCACAAAACGAAACCTCATGCATCTCTTCGGTCCCAAGCCCTTGCTATGGTTCGTTCCCGTCTGCAACACCACCGGTGACGGCTGGGCCTGGGAGGCCAGTCCGAACTGGCTAGCGGCTCGCGAGAGACTCGCCAGGGAACGCCAGGAACAGCGCGCGCGCGAGATCAACGCCGGCTGGGGCACCGACGAACCCCCTACCTTTATGCGTGAGGCGCCGCCTACGAAACCCGACGGCGCAGGTCGTCACTACCTCACCTCACCACCTCCGCCCGCCAACGGTTCGCGTAAGACGCTCTCCAAGGCCGACCGGGTCCTAGGCCGCGACCCCAACTTGTACGCCGACGGGTTCCAGGAGTCGATGCCCCTGCGGAAGCTTAGCCCGCGCGGCCGGGCCCTCGAGGACGAGCTGGACGACAGCGACCTCGACATGGAAGACCCGGTGGCGGCGGAGCACCGCGCCCTGAATCTTGTCACCAACGGTGGTTGGGGACGCAGCGGCGCCAGCGGGCTATTGAGAAAGCATAGCCCGTCGTCGCCGTCATTCAGGGATCAGCCCGAGAATGACGACGATGTGGACTGAGATGAGAAGACACGAAAGAGCAAAACTTTTAAAATAGGAGCCAGAGAGCGTTTTAGAAAGTGATATCCAGAAGCGTAATCTTCCGTCAGCAGGGCCTTTTTTCTTCTTTTTCTTCAATCAACCGAATGGTACGCTCCGGGGGCATAGGGGAATTGCGGGCGTCCGCTTTAGAAAGTGTATACGCATTTTATGTATGGTTTCATTTCACTTCTTGTTGAAGAGGATTAAACTCGGACTCTTAAAGGGAGGGGTACCTGAGGTGTATATGACGCGTTCTTCTTTTCTTCCTCCTCAGTACAACATGGTGTCTAGGGTGTTGAGTCTGGTTTCTGGGTTTCCAGACACATGGGTATTTTTCTTCTACCGTTAGGAACGGATGATGATGTTCGGTAGCAGCTTTGCAATCCGTATCGTTTTATTGAATGATTGCCAAACCATGTCTTTTTTTCCAAAATGTAAGATGATCGTACCTGGTTTGACAAGGCAGGCCATTTGCTATGCTGTAGAGTTGGAATTCGCCAACCGGTCTCGACCAAGTCACACGACAGCCCCATCGCTGAGCTTTTGACTGTCAAATTGGCAACCGTCTAATCAGAAAGACGTTACTGGTAGGACTCGGTTCAACCTCGAGGATATTCATACGAACCGATCCAGAGGACTAGGCTCAACCCACGTCGACGCCTATCGACGGTCACCTGAGAGCTCAAGCACACTATGCCTAAGAAATTTGCATGCTGGATACATCAGGGGGTCCTCCTCGTGCGTCTTACACGAGTCCGTCGGCTCAAACACGCATATCTGCCTGTGGAAGGTCTCTGGAGACGTTTTCATAGGCGTCTGTGCCGGCGATGAGTTTGGTAGACGCGCAGTGTGAATACCTCCGGCTAGGGGATCAGTGATTGTTGACCGACAGTGATGCGAGGGTGATGTACTCACGAATCAAAATGCAAGTGTTGCGAGTCCAGTCTGGCGTGGGGCAAAGGTCATACGAACAGGCCACCTTGGCGGAATCGCCCAGTGACTGTGAGACGTTGGGCCTCCTTTGCACTCCGGACCTCTGACAATTAGTCCTAAAGAAAAACAACTCGATTTCGAACCCTTCATTAAGGTACTTTTCAAGCCCTTGTGGCCATAGTAGCACAGCTCGAGTCCCATGCCTGTCTGTTGCTGTCGGAGCCTCTCTTGCCGCCTTCACCATCATCTGTCAGCTTACTCGTCTACGATCTCATTGTCGAATCCAGACCTGGACGGATCGGTGGTTTCGTGGTCACGATGTCCGAGACCAACACAAGCAATTACATGAGTGTCGATGTAGGTGGACTGGAATAGATATGCCAGCGGAGCGGTGAGCCGAGCGGCCCATTTGCCTACAGGGAAGAGATATAATGGAAATGCCCTTCGAAACGCTGTGAATACTCACGAATTACAAGTACAACGCTTGGCATTTACCTAGCCAAGATCTGAGAGACGTTTGAGGAGTTCAGTAACTATCGCTCGGTCTCTTTTGTGCCCGGGAGTTCAATCGTAGCAGGTGGTTCGACAACAGCAAACTTTGGGTTTATTCACTTTCGTTCGACCAGAGGTGACTACTGGAGGCTTCATCCGATTCACCAATGGGCTTTGTTTCCCGGCTCATGAGCGTTGGAGTACGAAAGAGGATTCCGCTCACACCACACGTTGGAACTTGAACGAAAATCTGATTAGATCTCTCAATCCACCTTCGACTCGGGTAGAGTGGCAGCTTGACACCGCAGGAATGGCTATACGGCTTCAGTTACATCGTAGAGATTCGTCTCATGATCATGACGGCCATATTGAGTTCTGTACCCGGAGGCTTGCCAGAACGGCATATCCCCCGTGGGTGGCAACCACGTCTGCTTACCAAAAGATCCCACGACCTCGTTCAACAAACGGATTCCTCTTTTCTACCTCGCGCTTGCCTTTCAGAAACTCGATTCAGATCAATGTATTCTTCATATTGCTATGGAATACACTCTAGAGATTCTCATGCTTCCTCATTCTCATATCGTGGGAGTACCGTTCTGCGACGATCATCGACCACGCCTGGGAGTTCAACGTGGTTCGTGAGATTTTGTGCTGAACAGCACAAGGCTACTGTCACCATCCCGTACATTCCGACCACCTCGAGCTCGAGTTCTTCTGCTAGGTGTATGACGTTGAGAGAAGTGCGTCGAGTGAGGCTGATAGTCGAGATTGGCCCCCATCCAAACCGCCGACGGTCCTTCGTACTCACCTCAGTGTTCTCCACAGTATAAGTATCGAATGCTGGCGTGGAGTGAGATCGATGTTCCCATGCGGTGTCTATATCCGTTGCTCAGGTCACTTCCACTTCTGTTTGCATCAAATCATAGATGGAGCTCTTCGGAACGCTCAAAAAGTGGCGTGGACTTTCACTTGGTGAGGGCAGTAACAAGACAGACAGCAGTGCTTTGAGATGTACTCCCGCCCGGGCCGTGACATGGCTAGTTCGAGTAGAAACACCACGGCTCCAAAAAATGTAGTTTCTACTGCACAGGTACGAGTCTCCTTACGGAAGCCAATTGTCGAATTTTTGAGGATTCCATCACCTGGCCTCGATGTCTTCCATCCACCAGGATGGGTTCTAGGGCAAGCAGGCCGGTTAGACTCATCCGTTGGCTTTTAAAGCCCTGATCGAAGCCACCTCTAGGCGGCCGGCTACATAGTGGCCATAAAATATCCTGATGCTCCAGACTTGTTGCCAGTAGGACCTTTCACTCCGACTTATAGTCATCAGCATCTTGGCTTCTTGATGAATGTCGCCTTTCTGTCGAGGCCACCTGCAACTCTTCAAATAGAGCCACGTCTCTGCATGCCAGCTTACAAAAGCGTTGTTCTGTCTTGCCAACGTTCAAGCTCAGCACATGTAGCATGACGACAAGACACCCACCGCTTATACGGAAGGTTATCGTCGCCTCCAGTCAAGACAATCGTGATCGACCTTCAAACGCTGCGGCTTGAACAGATGTCATGAACTTCCAACACCTCCTACGGTCCCAGATCCGTTATCAGCAGGAAAAGTATCATACACTTCAGCTCTCCTCCAAGACCAATGCTGAGGCACTTTCTGAACTGCATCGCTTTCCACCGAGATTGACTCAGACACCGATTGCTTCCGAAGCCATGAACATCACACATGGACGTATTAGACCGCCTCCTCGTCGAAACGTCTACTTACGCCAAAGCAAGCCGACTTAATTCATCGCAGACAAGTCATAGGTCCACGATGACGTGAAGCCCTCGCCATGAACCGCGCCGTGAAACTCTCTCAAATCACCCCCTCGAGCAAGTCTATCAGAAGGAGTGTCTGTATCGATGGAGCAAGCGGCCGATGATGTCGCTCGATTGCCACTCTACATTCATCATCGTCCACATACTTCGCAATGGGTTCCTCAATAAGCAAAGGCCCAAACGACAATCAATACTCCATCATGCCGATCCGGCTATGCTGCAACCTGAACGAGCAAGAAGTCATGTCAGTATACCATCAGTCCACCCGAGTCATTCATCTCGTTTCCATCTCACAATGACCGCAAGGATTGAACTCGCTCTTCGAGGTCTAGAACAGGTCCGAATTCTTACTTTTTTCCACTTCTCCCCCTTTCCAAAGAAGAAAGTAACAAGATATTACCGAGGACAAACTTCTGCCATCCGATCCAAAAAGTAAACATGTTCCTCCTTTTTTTTCAATCTACAAACCAACAGTTTCAGAGACGAACTAGTCTAGTCTAGTTGATAAACCCCAACTTTCCCAAAACTCAGTGGGACTTCCAATGATCCAATCATCCTCGTCAGAGCCCCCCCTGTCGGCTTACATGAACACACTCTGATCCTTCCATCAAACCCAAACGTCCGTCGATATTCTTATTCTGTTAGCCATACATCGTCAATCCAGCCCACTTCCAAACCGTCATCAAAAAAAAAAAAAATACCCCGAAAACCCACATCATCGACCGTTATCCGGAGAAACCCTCAACCATATTGATAAGTCTCAAACATATCCCCCTTTTTCTCCCTCTCGTCCTCCACCTAGGCAACCTCGTTCCACACCCCCGGTATCACTCATACAAACCAACATCGTGCCCCACATCCCGCCGATGAACGTAACCACAGCAGGCCATCGAACTGAGCAGAAAGAAAGAAAAAAACCCTCTTAACCCATGATCCCAGTCTCCTTCCCTAACTTCCCCATGATCCCTCATCCTCGCTAGGCTCATTGCCGATGGGGAGACAAACCTCCATCTACACAAGACTCCGTTTAATCTCCCTTACTCGTCGTACTCGTCGTCGCTCAAACGAAACACGCCAACGCGTCAACTTACGTAGGCAAACTTGCGTGTTGGATTATGTGTACCCGCCCCTCAGAGAACGCGCACTCTCTCTCACTGATGCCACGTCACGAGACATACTGCGTATTGAGGCCATTAGACGTGAAAATCAAACACGGCCGGCCACCGGGTCTACACTGGACCTCGAAACGGAAGCTAGTCATAATTCACCTCATACAACGGCCGAAAAGCGCAATGACCTCGTATATTTCAGTCTCTCACAGCGACACCAGACGCACTTCAGATATATAGCGTTTCCTGCAGGACATCCGTCTATGCCAGTCGCGCGTCCTAAGGGTACTCTAAAAAAAACCATATTCTATAACAGACAAAACGTAAAACCGTAGCTCTTTACTAAAACGCTGGCAGCTCATTACAACGAAGGGGAGGGGGCAGAACAGAAAGTCAGACACGCGAAGCAAGGCACGTCAATGGCCCCCATTCACAATGCAAAGGGAAGGGGGGGCAATGGTCCTCCAATGTCGTAATCTATGTGCTTCATCAAAGATCTCACAAGCCTTTCTCACTGAACCCACCGTGATCATACCACATCATCTTCCGGGGGGAAGTGAAGGAAAACCCTCCGATTCCGCCGTCCCGGTCCTTGTTTCTGGAGCCCACAAAGTTGGAACGCAGTTCATCTGTTTCCCCCCCTCCCCATGAACCATGGCCTCCTCATCTCATCTCCAACGCGTGACAACAGACCACACATGCCATGTCCATCTAATCTCCTCCGCATCTCATCAACATCAGTCGGCAACGGCATTTGGACGTCAAAACCTTAGCGTCCGGCTACCAACGCAAAGGAAGTATGGCAACGTAGGAATACAAGATTAAACGCTCCGAATACAGTAATGACCCGAGTTTATTCCTCCTCCCTAATGTTTCCTCCCATTCGTTGTTTTCACTGCGGGTCTCACGCTACGGATCAATGTCGAATCTCTCGGAAGCCAGACAGATTGTAAAAAGCAGATGGATACTCAACCTTTGGGTTGCATTCAGATATCTCCGTGGGGGAATATGGTACAGGCCACCTCGGCCTACCCCGTTTCACATGCCGCGTTTCCTCAAGCCACTCCTTATGGCCATAAGCATGGAAACGCCTACCTTGAACGACGGGGATAGCGGGTGTACACGTCCTGGGTGAGGAACCTCCATCTCAACCTCTTTCCAACTGAAATCAAAACAGTACCAAGAGCCATGCATTCAACGGCTTCCACGCGAGCTCAGGGAGGCCCATGATCCACCACATTCTCCCCCCCCCCTCTCCCCTCCTCCACCCCTCCAATACCAGACATCATGTCACGTCTTCCCAGCAACTCGTCGAAGAACGGGAAACCTCGTCTCGAGGCACCATGATCCACATCTTTGGGACACCCCCTAAGCTCCAAGCACCAACGGTCTCTCTCTCTCTCTCTCTCTCTCTCTCTCTCTCCTCCCCGAGCGTCGACCCAAGACGCCGAGATCACCTGGGTCGAAACGTCAGACAGAGACAAGAAACCCGACGAGGACTGACTGGCTTTGCTGTACCATCGAGGCCAAACCTCTCAGTCCAAGACCGAACCCCCTCTCGCTCTCGCTCTCTCTCTCTCTCTCTCTCTCTCATACACACACACCAAAACTCAAAGGACTGACCACAAACCAAAAACAGCATCGTTCCCTACTGTGCCCACATATTTCGAAATACCCACACAAGCTCCCCAATGCTCCACAACGTATCCCCATACCGGTGAACATGCCCCCCCCCCCCCCCCCCCCCCCCCCCCCCCCCCCCCCCCCCCCCCCCCCCCCCCCTCCCCCCCCCACCCTTTCTCCTCCCCCCCCCCCCCCCCCCACCCCCCCCCCACCCCCCCCCCCCCCCCCCCCCCCCCCTGGCCGACATCTCACACACACTCTCTCTAGCCTATCCATCTCTCGGCCGTTGGGTCTTGTCTCTCTCTCTTACAATGTCCAACATAGATGGCGCCATCAACCGCCTGATCGTCCCCTTTCCCGTGTCTAATCTCTCACTCTTTGTCGACCTTTTGCCTGTTCATAATACACCCCCGCTTCATCTCACAACGCCTGTCCAACCTTGAGACACACGTACACCACAAGACACAAGGTCGTCCCCGGACAGTACCAACACGCGCGTGCGGGCTCACGCTCACATCATCAATCCGCAATCCTAGTGACACCAGTGATCCTCTCTCACTGCCATAGCGCAGCATGGGCCCGTTGGCAACCATTTGGTCACTCTGCAAGCATCAAATATCATGTCCTTGGTCGTTTCTCCAGTACGCTCGGCAAACCTCCGGGATATCAATATCCTCTCCTAGTCATCGTCGTCGAGACTATCATCTTCCCACACACCCTCTATCCTAGGCAGATTCGGTACATCGTTGGAAGCAGATAGTGCACCATTCCCAATGAGGTAGCACTTGGCATCCCAAAAGATCACCCGAACGGGACAGTATCACATACAATAGTGACTTTCAAGATACTTCATCTACCTTTGTCTACATTGCCTTACATCACCCTCAACTTCCACTAGGACCGCACCCCAGTCCGTCAACAACTTCCAAGTCCCGGGCTCTCCCCATTTTCTTGCTGCTACACACCCGCATGCTTTTGCCTTCCCTTGACCTCACCTCAGATAAACCTCACATCACCTTGTCGGAGGAGCATGAGAAAAGGCAACCATACGCCTCCTCTGTCCCTGTACGTCGCCCAGAAGGCGGCAGGTAGCACGGAGAGGAGAAACCACCGCATCATCATGCCTGTCCACGCCCAAAATCCCACAGATTAAGTCACCATCAAACTCCTCCTACTCCTCCTGTGGCCCTGTCCTGCAGTACCTACCGACCCCCTCCTTTCTCCTCCGCTACGACGCCGCGGGCCTATTCCCACGTGAATCCCGGCACGACTGTCTGTAGAACACCGGGCTATCCGTGCGCCCATAAGCAACGAACGGGGGATCCTGCGATGCCGGCGAGGCGGCGCGGACGGTGCGGTCCACGGACGAGGGCCCGGCAAGAGATTCACCCAATTCGTGTGAACCCCCCCCCCCAGCCCCCATGCCAGCAAACCCCTGTCTAGAACCCATGCTATGCAAACGTCCAAGGGTCCCCAGACAACCCGACTTACTCAAGGTGAGCAGTCAGGTGTAACCTCTCACCGACATATCCCAGCTGTCGTCTAACGTCGACTCACATCGAGGCTGATCCTCCTCCTTGGCCCGCTGTCAACCACCCAACTTGCCGTCCTGCCTGGCTCGATTAACCGCGTCCGCGCGCCGTCCTCGGCAAGTCTTGCCAAACGGCTGCCTTTTCAGTGCCACCAAAATGGGAAACCTTGCCCCTACCCCCTGCTCGATAACGGCGCTGTGTAACCGGTGCTACAAAAGCTGACGAAAGCACTAGGGACCGTTCGCTAAAGAAGGACCAGCCCGCAGAACCCTCGTTCCCCTGCTCATGACCCCCCGGCCTGCATCTACCCTCCATCAGGAGCTCTGCAAAGTGGTCTTTTTGGCTCAACAAACCCGCGGCCATTCTCTGGCCGCCTCCTCTCATCAGCAGTTCCGAAATGGTTCTTGGTATCCGGACTCGTTAGCTTTAGTCTCTTCCCGTTGCCTGGCGACATGGCCGTGCCTTCATGCGACCTGCTGTCATATTCCCGCCGTGTCATCAAGCAGCTCCTACGCAGCACATGTCGTTGAAGAAGAGTAGCACTAGGGGAAGGGATGCTCCGCGCCGCCGGCTCAATGCAACTCTCACATCAGAAGTGAGGCTCTGCATGAGTAGTAAGAATGCACTGCATTCTGCCTGCTCCGTTCCCGATGGACTTGTAGCGAACCTGTCGGCAGCATCCATCCCGCTCCGTTTGCCCTGCCAATGACATGCTCACGTGGATAATGCTATTGCCAGGGGTGCTTTTGTTGACAAGGTGGCTAGGGGGGGACAGGAGGGGGGGAAGGTTCCCAATGATAGAAACATGCCCTCTCCAAAAGAAGATAGGGGCACCAACATCCAGGCGGTCGGTGTCGATCGAGACCACTGCGCGACCCCGGTATCCGATGTACATGCCCCCTGAGAGGGGTAAACCCCCGATGTCGAGCAGGAGAGTCCCGCCGCCCAGCATTGTCTTGCCGGGACAGAAACCTCGACGTCGAGTCCCGGAAGATGTGGTGGCAGCACTTCCGCTGCCTCGTCGTGTGCCCATGCCTTGGGGTTGGTCACAACGCTGGCCAGCGAGATGGTCCGCCATGGGCGATCGCAGTCGTGTAACGATCAAACAGCCTTCAGCAGTGTGATGCAACGCTGCCAACGGCAATGGTACGAAGCCACCGTTCCTCTGCCACTGGCCTGGCGTCGGATGAGTGTCAGATTCGACCTGTCTCAAAAACAACACCCATCAAAAAAGCAAAGACCTCGAACCAGAGACGAGAAAACGCGGACAAGAAGAAACAAAGCGACGGGTCAGCTCTCACCCGTTTGTGACGTGGCAGTCCGCACCCCAACGCCTTCTCGATAAACCGCCGCCATTATGGGCAGGCTGTCTCGTCAGGTACTGATACTCGGGCATGCTAGATGCAGAGCGCCGCAGAGTCCCATGCGTCGCTGCCTGCTCAACCAACTCATTCACCTGGTCAGGATGGCAAAAGGGACAGCTGCAGAGTCGGTTCCGGCTTTGATGACCTCGCCCGCTTTACCCAAAGGTGATGAAGAGACAGGATCAGCATATGACAGCTCATAAAACATCCACGAGGGCCAATTCTCCATCCTTGCTGACATGTGTGAGGCAGACAAGATGCGATATGCAGTGTAGCAGAGGCAGCCAATTCGCTTGTGAGGAGGTTTGGGGTCCCTGCTCCGGCTTGAGCCATCTAGGCTGAGGTGAAGGCATCCTCAGGTAACTAGGCACACTGTGCTCAGGAGAACATCGTCTCGAAGTACTCTGCAATTTCTTTCGTCAACACGAGACGCGGGGGCCATGAGCTGACAGCTCAGATCGCACAAGCAGAACAAAGCGACGCGTGATTCGGTGAGGGTGCGGACTGTCGTCCGCCTCACCGACATGCACTGAAACCTGCCCCCCCCCCGGTTTTTGGCTAGTAAAGATACCCATGGCATGGCAATAGCGCTGCCAGAATCAGATCAATAGCGTATTCAGCAGAAGCAATCCCGTGACGCTGGTGTACACCTGCAGGCTGCATGAGGTGAAGAAAGCAGTAAAGCGGAGGAATGTAAGACAGGGTGGGAGGAACGTCGGTGAGCAGGCGGCGTGACAGCGGCGTAGCAAACAGCTCGCTGCAGATGCCCGCACTGAATACCCAAGCCTGGGTGGCTCTCGATGCAGACATGGCCAAGGTGCTTCAATGCAAGCAGCCGTTGCATGGTAGAAACGACACCTGAGCCACCATTCGAGCAATAAGTCGTGATCATCCGCGACCGTATCGGGATAGCGGCTCATTCCAAGACTAACCGGCGTAACAACGTGTCTCTGAAGCCCCTCAGGCTGACCACGGCACCAACCCCTCCCCTTCTCGTCCGCGAATGTCCCTCTATTGCAAAGGAAATACAAAAATGACATGTCGTAAAGCTCCAAAATGGAACCTTGGCCGCCAGCGAAGCAACGTCGAGGAGGGGCCGGCCCGGGTAGGGTGTGAGTGGTGCGAGCCGACTACCGATCTCCGTGTATTGACGCCGGAGACCCTGGCCTGAGTTGCCTGATCCGGAGACTTGAGCGGCAAGGAATAAATGTTGTGGCGGAGGGGTGCGCTTTGCGGTTGGAACGGACTCTACCGGATTCAGGGGCCGGGCCTGTGTAGGCTGCTGCAGCTTGGCAATTGGTGAGACTGGAGCTTTTGATTCGGTGGCCGGTGTCTTCTTCTAACAGCGATACAACAGTAGCAGGCATGAGTTCCCTGCGCGAACACTGGTAGCAGTGGTGGGAGAGGCCATCAGGGGTTAGACTGATGGTGTAGTCGCGAGGCGTGCACGTGAGGCCATCGTCAAGTCCCACTCGGCGCCACGGCGGCGGCGGCCGGCAGCTCCGGTTTCCCCGGCCGTCTACGGTCCAGGCCGGCGCCCGGTACAAATGACACTCCGTACGGGGGAACCACCCTGGAGGAACGAGGACTGGGGTGCGCCAAAGCATATGCCGGGGACTGGGTCTCCTCAGTGTCCCGTCCGCACCAAGAGCTTGTACAGCTCGAGGGCGGACGCCACATTGACGGACTGGGAGCGGTCGGCTGGTTGCAGCAATCTCTGCATAGAGGAAGAAGTGCGCCTTGCAATCTGTCGGCGTCGTTTTCGGGCGCCTCGTCTTACAATCGCAGACTGAAGCCGGCGTCTGAGACGTGATTGACTCTGGAGTCAGATCGTACGGTTTCCAGTGATGCAGTCATTTCCACAGCAAGGGTTGGCTATCTCAGAGATGAGGGCTCGGAGAAGCGCAATGGTGCGTGCGTGCAGCGTAGGGTATGTATTCGTCCACCACCCACGTAGGCATGTTTGAATAGGTGTCCATCCATGCCTTTAGAATGACCATGCTATCCCAAAGTGCCCTCCGTCAACCTTCCTGCGTAGCGCTGGCACATGCGGGGGAACGGGTCACGTCGCCCAGCATATCCAGACAGCCAGGATCGGCCAGCCACAACACAACGGCACGGGGTTATGAGAGCTCGCTTCCGCATCGGGGGATGGCGAATTCAGGGGCGGCCCTTTTCAATGCCAACGTGTCTATACCAGTGAATGGTCCCTCATGGCAAGGCGAGGCGAGGCAAAGCGCGATGTGCCGCGAAAAAGCCATGGATGGAAAGCATCCATGATCCATCGTGGTTGCGCAGCAGCGCGGCGAATAAGTGAGCAAACTAAACTCGGAACACGCCTGCCTGCTTGGTCGGCCCGTGGAGCTCGATAAAAAGGTTTGATTGACGAGAGTTTACTGAACACACGACGCTCATCCTTGAAGGTTGACTCGCTCGGCCGTGCCCGAATGCCCCGGCGACTTCGTCTGAAGGTCGGGGCTGGTTGTCGTTAGCGGGTAGCAAGGCACCGCACGTCGTTGGAATTAGTACCAATTGCGAAGGAGACGGATGTGTTACTTTACCTTTACCTTGCGTCAGCAAACATCTCCCAAGCCCACTCTTCATGTAGGTACTCTGACAGAGAGATGCAGTCTCATGTGAGAAACATCAGATGCAGGATGCGACAGCCGACAAGCTGCTTAGGTCAGAACCGGAATGGATGGTAACAACCACAACGAAGCTGGAGAAATCTCAGGTTCGAACCCCCAACCTGGTCATCTCGAATACCTTACTGTGTGTACTACAGTAGTGTCAACCCCACTCGCAACAAGCAGCGACAGTGGATTGGAAGTTCTCACACAAGAATAGCAACAGCCACTCCGCCGTCAGCTCCGCATCGCGCCCTGGTTGTACCTTATTCAACGCAGTGGTTCCTTCGTGATATCGCTGAGGGCTAAGCGCAAGCAGCAGCTTGTGCTACTTGGGTCAAGCCCTGTCTTGTGGGCTGCAGTCCTCTGTCAGCAAAAGCTGCTCCGCACCATCCCGGGTGCATAGTTGGGGGCCTGTTGTTGTTCTACTAATCAATGTAGTAGCGCAAGGCAAGTCGTAAAAACAAGTTGGTATCTCCATGTCGAGTAACGTACACACATGTCTCAGCGCGGCTTCGTGGGGGAGGACGAGCCCTCGTATGGAGCTATCGGGCGATATCATGTGTGTGCCCTGGACTGCCATGTTTGTTGTGCTTGGGGCCAGGTTGAGGAAAATTGCGGCGAGAATACGGAGTACGAGTAGCGCCCAACGCTAGCCGCCCTGGGAACTATGCCTCGACAAAGTGTCCACCACGAGAACGCCCGACTCTCATAGCAGATACCGGTGTTGCGCCGTGAGACGCGGTGGACGGGATCCTCGGCCGTCCCCCAAAAATTCCCTAGCCGCTCGCCAGCCACTCCACAACCCTCAAACATGGCGCGCCTGCCGTTTTCAGACGGGTGGGAGGGGGAATTTGGGACATGGAGACGGGAATTTCGCTGAAGAGGAGAGAAAAGTCAGGGGAGCGTCTGTGGAGTGGGGGAACCGGGGCCGCTCGCCTTGGGTTCCCACAATCAATTATAGAAAAAAAGAAAGGCATCAGAAATTCGTCCACGGAGACGCGGAGACGCAGAAAACGACAAAGCGACAACGGAAGCCCCGAGGCAAAGGGCCGTCTGCGGAGTGACATGCACCAGCTGACCGGGGTTCAGGCCCGGAGCTGAGGTTCGCCGAGTCCAAGTCGCATAGGGGAGGATTTGCGATTCCATCGAGACGCTGGATAGAAGCCTTCTAGAAAGAACCTACCCTGGGAGGGCGTGCCTGTCGTTTGATGGTTGCAAGGATTTCAGCGAGCCTACTAAGGAACCCGAGACGACACTGTACACGTGCGGTCCATCGCCACCCTTTTTGCCAGTCGGATTCTGAGGACCTTTTTCGTTGTTTCGACTGTCCATACGCGGTCATTATTTTCCCCATCTTCTCGCTGCTTCTGCCGCTTAGGCGCACGAGGAGCAGCTTGCTGCAATGCCGAGCAATGCGGCCCCTAAAGTCCTCGAGGCCCCCCCCCCCATACTGTGACTGGGATAGTCCTGCATTGTTGCTGGAACGACGCATAGTTCTGCCCCGATTCGGCGGTGCGAGCGAGGCAGAAGACGAAGGAAAATGGACCTGCGCCGGGTTGCTCTCAAGGACCTTCGCGGTTGGCGCTCTTGTCAAGTGTCAGGCACGCGGTGAATAGCCCTCGTTCCGAACAAGCCACTTCCCAGCTTTCCAGAATTCCCCGGGCCAGCTTCATGCCAGCCGACCCACGCCACGGCCACGACCACACGCCTTTCAACGAGAGAAGCAGTTCAAACTGTCTACCATCCCTGATGGTTTTGCGGACACGGTGCGACGCGGCATCGCCTAGTTGTTTATTGAGTCAGTCCAACGGTATAGCGCTACTATGTTATAGCTGGCAGCGGGTTGCTTGAAGCTTTGACAGCGTAGCCCCCGGTCGTTTATATCGTGGCATTGTCAAGCAGAGCCTGTGAGATGGATGCCAAAAAGACCCACCCTTGTCCGTAACCCTTGGCCATAATCAATGTTGCTTAAGCTCCATCTTGGCCTCGCGTGTGCATCGTGTTATTGAGATCGCTAAGGAGCCACCAACTGAACTCTATGTGAGACGCGTATCCGTAGGCGCCAGTATCTATTCCTGGAGGCTGGAGAAAACACTTTTCGTGGATCGTCAAAGTGATGCCAGACGCTTTCACGGAAGTTTCGTCGCTGTTTGTCGGTGGTGCCGTGCTGCGCGGGCTCAAGGGTCGATGTCTGAAATTTCCTGCCAACCCGGCTGCCTGGGTCGTAGTAACGGCATAAATATAGGTGAGACGCAAGTTGGTGGTCGCGAGCGGGTGCCATCTGTTCTCACAAAGGATTCCCGCGGCGTATTCGCGGACGCTTTGGCTGTAACTCCAAGGCGCAAAAAAAAAAAATAAGAGCATGGTTTTGGGCTTTTGGCTTCAAACGATGAACCATGCAATCAATCCCTTATGCGAACGTGCTGAGCATCTGGTCCCCGGGTTACACGCCCTTTGATTCCTTCACAGGCGATTTGTGCCCATCCGACTAGAACAGAACGCAAACAACGAGATGACAATGCAAAGGGAACATCGAAACGATGCGCGGCCGGCGAGGGATTGCTTGCTCGGCGCATTACAATCTGGGGAAAGTCAGGCACAGACAGTCCAATGGATCGACCAAACTTTGACCACGAGGCGTATTTCTGTGCTAGTCCTGACCGTCAGTCACACGCGTTGCCAAACTGCGATGATGATGGAAAATGCTGGAACGACTCCATGGCCATCCTATTGTCCCATGCCGGAGTCACTGAGAAGCATTCATACGGACACAAGATCAACGACAGGCAACTGTCTCCAGTGAATGAGGACAATGTGCTTGATCCCCACAATCTGGATGACTCCCTATTGATGGTGAGAACTTGCGCCGTGCCACCCATGTCCAAACGCAAAATGATGTGCAGCGAGGTCCATGCGACCTCAATGAATAGAGTTCGCCCACGGAAAAAAGAAGAAAAAAAACCCAAACTCGAAGGGCAGGGGCAGATTTGCGCCGAGGTGCCTGAGCTGGTGGAAGAAAAGGGGGAAAATTGGCATGCCATGAGTGTCCGACCTGACAGTAGAACCCGAGCAGTCCGAGACGAACTTCGGACCAACACAGGGGGTTGTTGTTGCGAGCGTTCTGACAGGCTGGTGCCTCATCTCGAGTCCTAATCGGGCAAGTCGTCCATTGGCGCGTATGAAACGTCGTCGTCCATCATCCAACAACCCTTGCTCCCTCGTACCCCTCAAAAATGGGTTGAGTTGAAGGGACAGAATACCGCCGAGATGCATACATTTCCTGGTCAAAGAACGCCAGCCGCCGAGATTGGGCTCATCCGAGGGCATTCGATGCTGGCCATCGGCTGCAGTGACTTGTAACGACCCGCGCGAATGGTGAACCAAGCAGAGCAGCCAAGGTCAATGCTGCGTCGGGGTCCACGCCCTCCCAGGAGAGAAAGGCGCTCAATCAGATGCTTTGGTGTGCCGCCCTGCAGTGGGTGACTCGACCTCACGAGTGAAGATCCCACGACGAACTTCCAAGATGTCCGCTGTCGTCCCTGCAGGATCATGCAGCCGGGGTGCTCCC